ACTTCATAAGAAGTGAAGTGACTACAAAAAAAACACTCGGATATTACATATTTCATTACCTTCACTCGCATTATCTTAATATGTAACATCAAAAAAATAATTCACTTTTAAAAGTATATAATTAAAAAAAATAACAAAAAATAATAATTATATTAAAATATTGGTATCCCCGACTTACGAACTAGTTCCATTCCAAAAGGGTTGTTTGTAAGTCGAATTTGTTCGTAAGTTGGGGAATTTTAAAACATACATATCTTACCACACCTTATCATGGTTTTTACTTTTATATATGTTAAATTCAGTATTACTGACTGCATAAATTTGAAAAAGTTAGAGAATTTTGTTCGTAAGTCGGGAGATACCTGCATATTATTCGATTATTTTCTATATACACTTCGATCAATGCGGATTCATTATAGACCGGTTTGAAAATTTCAAAACAAATAACATTTTAATTCAACAAAATAAATACACACAACTATTCAAATAGCGACGGGACCGAAAACACGCACTATGCGAGGAATTACTGTACATTATTATTAAATTTTCGTGACTTTACAAATAATTTGTAAATTGCAATTATTAAGCATTGCACAAATCCAATGAAAATCTGCAATTATAATGCAATATAAAATCGTTAAATGTTAATTGCATTAGTGGAAACTGAAGGATGAGGCAATATTACATTATTATGAATGTTGAAACCTGTAATACGACAATATTTCTATTGTATATGAATACATAACTTACATTAACATACTTTGAGTAATAAATAAGACTAAAAAAGTTAAAAAAAAAACATAATTAGAAATTAATTAAAATCAGATTTTATATTTAAAAATAGTTTTAAGCAAACTTTGGAATAATTTTTTATAGTAATAATGTTTCTATTGCATCTAAACTAATATATAGACAATTTTTAAGCAGATATTTACCAAATAACAGATTTTTTTTCAAATCAAAATAAATAATTAGCGAAAAAACAAGCAGGAACAACCTAAGGCAGGTATGCCAAAAATTGAACCTTGAGATGTTAATCAATCCTGATTTTATTTTGACCACTTTTTTGTGTTTGTTTGTACTTTTCCAATCCGGTCAAGCTTTCAAATCTGCTTCATTTCTATGCTATTTTATTGCATGACATTGAGAGGTAGGAATTCGACGAAATTACATAACGCCGCTCAATTTCATGAACCGACAGAATAAAGATGATGGATGAGTTGTTACATTTGATTGCATACGATTTCATACTGAACTACGAACAAATTGTAAGTAATAAAGTCAAGGTTTAACATCGTCGAGTATCAATATCTTGATTTGAGTCGAGGTTAATTCGTTTTTGTCATATTTCTTTAGAGTTATGACGTTAACAAATCAAATTGTAACTTGCTCAAAGATGACAAGAAAAATGTAGATCAAACTCAATTATTTATTGTTGCTTGAGCTACTGAGAAAGTTGTAAAAACTCATTGTAGCATTCTTATGTCATTAATCTGTAACAGAGCATGATAATTTTTGTAATTGAAAAAAAAAAGAAGTTTTTATTGAAAATTAATATTCCAAGTAGATAGACTAGACGTATTTTAATAAGATGAAGTCATCGAATTTAAATTCTATAGTCAAATCTTTACCACATTTCCGCATCGAGTCCAAAGTTTAAAAAATAACTATACTTATCATGAAGAATTCTTTGTAATTGATGATTGATTGATTCATTGATGATTTATAGTGATATGTTGTGTGATATACAACAGTTAGTGAAATTTTTATTTTAGTTCAAATACTATTACAGTTGCTTTGGCAAAGTGCAAATTGGTAAAGTAATTATAAGAATGACGAAATGCTGGCGCGACGGTGACTACGTCTAGGTATTAAACTGTTCCTATTCAATGTTCACTAATTAATAGTATCCGCAGGTACACACGGTCAGGCAAGCAAATGAAAAAAACAGAGATGGAGAAAGAATAATGAAGTGCTTTGAAATGCACGTACACAAAATGCGGAACTTAATGGACGGGATCCGCACGATTCGTTTAAAGAGAAAGTTATTTACTCTTGCACACTTCCGATTTACACATTTCCCAAATAAAATTGTAAGCAACACATACATTCAAAAGATTTACAATTACAACTTTAACTAAAACTATAAAAAAAATATAGTCTAACATCTGACAAGAAAATAATTAAAAAAAACTTCGGTTTCCGAACAGAATTTCTCCAAACTTGTCACGCCATCAACTAACCTCCGTACATATAAAGTAAAGTTAAATAAGTAACAAAATCAACTATAACAATAAATACAATCTATAACTTTGGAATTACAGTCGAAACTAGGATAAACAAATCTAAAATAAACCCCGGTTTCTGAACAGAATTCCTAACTCACTTAGTTTGTATTTTATTTTATAAATTTTCTAAATTAGCAAACATCTGGGCAAAAATTTATTATCCAACTTTAATTTATATAGATAAAAATTGGTTTCGGTTTACGAACAGTTAGGTTTTTAATTAGCTTTTATTGAACTAGTTGTGTGCTTAACCGTAATATTAGAGGCAATAATTATATTAGAACTTAGTAATAAAATTAGGTAGTACTTTCGGTTTACAAACAATTCGATTTTTAATCAGTCTTTAGCAAACGAATTACATTAGACATTGTAAAGTTGCTTACATTTTACTGCAAGCAATGAAAACGAAAAAAAGGTTAATTTTGTAATAATTATTATTATACGGTTTGCCTTGACTGGGTCTTAAATACACGTGAAATTGTAGTACAAAAAAAGTAATTTTCGTGCGCGAAATGAGATAGGAAGAAAACAAAACATTACCGTTAACATCCTGAAATCTATTTACTCCACAGTGCACCGACCATTATTTGTTATTTTTTCCTTGAATTTCTTGTAAGGATGTTAAATCAACGAAGGACGACGGTCTGGTCAAGTTTATCAAGAACCATTTATTTTTACATTTATAATTTGTTAGTCTTGGATTTGCCTCATTTTAACTTGAACTTTTTAGATTAGTCATATTTTAGAATGAAGGACTACATTTTTCCACAATGACAATAAGTGATGTTGAAAATTGAATCTATATATATGAATTGAATAAAATATTTCTATCAGTTCTCACAATTTTTGAAATTTTATTTTAAAATTAAAGAAAATACCTAAATCATTTGTATTTTGATTAATATAATAATTTAATTTGGTACAAATTATTGAAAGGATCAATTGTAAAGCTAAGAAGTTTCATTGATGCTCCAAAATAAAACAAGATCAGATTCAGTTTAGCAATCTTTCTATACAAATAGTAATAAATATAACTTGATTACATACATTTTTAACATGCTTTGATATAACGCAATTTCCATTCAGAAATGTTCTTAGTTTTTATATTCAATAGATTATCAATAATTAAGGACATATAAAAAGGTTATTATGAACAAACTTCAAGTATAATTACGAAATTCTACAAATATTCCTATTATCCTGACAATATCTATTGTATTTTTGTTGTAAACAATATTTTAGTGATTATAAAAGTAATTTTGTGTGTGAATAGAATTATAATCACCTGAGAAAAACGTTCTTAATTTCTAACTATAAAATTATGTTTTTTTCTTACAAATTTACAAATATGCAACTTACATTTTCTGTAGATTTCTTTCCTTTCCGTCACTTTCACCGAGTCTTCAGTTATACCATATTGCAGAATCACAACAGCATTTCATCTTTTTGTTAAATTGATGCAATTTTATATCGAAAACAATATACTTTATAAACTGGTTTTACATATCAAACATTCAGTTTGTCACATATTTTCTCTTCATATTACAGATAACAGTGACATATCTAAACTACTTGATAAAATTGTAAATCATTTATTTTCACAACATCAATTCAATCTTTAATTATCATAATCAGGTTTGCCTAATATTACGTTGCTAGTTTCTACAATGTCAAATTTGTTTATTAAACAAAATTCAGTTTCTTTCAATGTCCATCAAGTAATTTATATATATAATTTCCTAAAAAAATAAGAAAACAATATTAACTTATAATACCAAATATGGTAAACCTATTACAGCGTTGTAATAGTTTTGATTTGAGGCCGAAGATAATCAATTCCTTAATAAGAATGTTAAGAATGAATACATTCCTGACCAGAATATAGACATCAATAACTATATTTGAACATACTAAGTAAATTATGTTTATTTCCATTAGAATTTGTTATTGAAACTTAGATAAGTAGCGTTTGTTTCCTAACGAGTATAAAGATCGCGGAAATTCCAATGTCAACTGGGAACAAAGCAAAGACTTATTAAATCAAATCTTGGTGATTTATGCGTAAATTATATACTATCATCATAATAACTATTGTTGCTTGATTTGCCGCATTTGAAACGCAAACGTACGAACAGAAGTACATGTAATTTAATATGCTATATTCCAGTAAAATACAAAAAATAGGAATAAGTATTTTACTTAAAATTGATATAAATTATTGCTTCAAAAAATGAAAAGTATTAATGGAAATAATAACTATGAAATAGTTTTCACTTTTTTTATTTTTTATTTCACTTAGAATATAGTTTCTTAATATTCTTTTCCTTTGTTTCGTTATAAGACGAGAAGAATATAAGAGTTTTGTAATCTCATTATGGAAGTAACACGTTCTGTTTTAAATATGGCAATACAAAATTCTGAAATTACGTGATTCGCTTATAATTTTTAAATAGTTTTTATTATGAGAATGTTAATCAAATATTCATAAGAATATTATTGTTATAGCGTGTATTAACATAAAAAAATAAGATATTCATTAAAATTGTTAAGAAAATTTACCATTTATCTATGAAATATATACACTTACTGTAAATAATGTATATTATGTTAAATAAGTTACTTTCTCTTGTCCTTCTATCACGTTGCTGATCAATAGTATTAATCTTTGCATTCAATAAATGAAACATTCTAACAACGATTTTCTTGTTTAAGGAATTCTACCCGAAGCTCTCCGAACCAATTGTTTAAGATGCACGGAGAAACAGAGGTTTGTTACGATGAAGAGCATAAAGAGGTTGAAGAAAGAGTACCCTGATGTTTGGGGACAATTGGCCGAAATCTGGGATCCAACCGGAGAATATTTCGTCCAGTTGGAAGAATCTGTGAATAAGAGAAACAATAAAGTGCCGGAAGCTGCGATTCTATCAAATAGAATTGGTTCGGAAAATGAGGTTACTGCCTCTATTACAGAAAGAGTGGTAACTACAACTACGAAAGCTACGACGACTACAACTCCGAAACCGAAGATAACTACGACGACAACAGAAAGGACAACTACCACGAAGAGAACCTCCTCGCCGACTGCCAAACGAAGTGTTCCGACCACCAAGAGGATAACGACTACGACGACTTTGAAAATGCTTTCTTCGAAAGAACCATCGACGACGATCAAGAAGATCATCGGAATATCTTACAATTATGATTTTGCTGCCACCACGAAGCCTGTAATAAGACCCCAACAGCCAGTTGCCGGTTTCAATATCGTTTTGAGAGGAGTTAATAATATAATTGCACCGATAACAGATATCGCTGGGAAGGTGATCACAGCCGGAACGGATTTGGCTAGTATGGTGTTGGATGTCTTGGGGGTCAGAAGAAATTAAGTTTTCAATTTTTATAATTTTGAATCGTGATATCTTTTACTTTATATTATTTATTGAATTTACTTTTATTGTATATGTACTTGCTTTTTTTTGTTTACGAATAAATACGTTTTACCTACTACGATTTTGATACGATATTTATATTAATTACTCTAAACAAATGAAACGCAATAAACTAAATTGGTGGTTTCTACATAATAATTCTATTTGGTAACAGTTGATTTATTTAATCACTTTTCTTTAAATTCTTCGGAACTAATTACAATGCATTTATAATTAATTTTAACTATATATCATTACTTTAAATATTGTATATTGGTTTACTTAAATTATTTTTAGTAATTACTTAGGAAGGAAAGTTCATGTTTGTAATTTCTTTTAATTATATATATTACATAAAATATAATTGTGGATGTAATAAGTTCTCACATTTCATTCAAATAATTAGAATTTTATAATGTAAATTTCAATTACTATTGCATTCAATAGGTATAATAGGTACGGTGGGCACACGAGACCAGGCCCACAGGATGCAAAAAACAAGTATTTTTAACCTTTAACTATTCGCGCCGGTGTAAAAAGTACACCAATTTTCTAAGAAATTATACCACATCTATATTTTCTTTGCCCCATCTATGAAACTTAACGTAACCTTTGCCTAAAGTGTTTATTAAATGCCGGTGCAATATTATGTTCACTGCGGCACAAAGAAGTTATTTTTGTGCATGTTGATGCTGATACCTCGACTCACGCTTAAATAGAAGGCAATGACGACAATTCTGATTCAGAATTTGTTATATTACTTTTATTATAATACATTTCTTGTTATAATATTGTAGAATATTCAACAATTAAACTATACAACAAACTAAGGAGATAACACTAAATTCACAAAAGTCATATCATTATATAAGTTTTGTGAATGAGATTATTCTAAAATTATATTATTTTCATCGCAGATTGAATCATAAGCTTAAGATTATTAATGTAGTAGTTTCAAATCATAATATTATCAAATGACAAACAGATTCAAATGGCTTTTATATGTAGTTTATATCTACACATTCATTTCCACTCTTACTTTGGTATGAGATTTTGAAAGATTCATTTAAAAGGATGTTCTAAATATGAAATAACAAATCATTTTCACTTTATATTCTTCGTGTTAATTTGATTTCCTTAATATAAACTTGTTTTCTTATTTAAGACAACATATAAAATTCTTTTCAAAGAGTATATTATAAAATTATTGTCATTTAGAAATTCTACGTTTATTTCTGATTCTTTAAATCAAGGAATAATTTATTATTTTCTAATTTAAAAATTAAATATGTAAAATGTATATTTGGTTGCATATGACGAAATCCTGTACTAACCGATGAGAATCGTTAAGAAAGCTAAGTAATGCAACATACTGAAATATCAATATAGGAAATAATTTCGAAATGAGGTTTATTGGCTTATGTGTAATGTTCTGTTGATCACACGAGTTTCAAATATTTATTGATTCGTGGTGCAATTATTTAAGTAATAGTAATATATTTGTTTAATACATAAAATAGAGTGGAAACTCGTTTAGCGAGTTTAATCCGTTAAAAAATTTCCGGATTTATACTCGTATAGTGAAACATATTCAAATACACATATGTGTACACAAGTTTTAAAAATAACGTAGAATGCCTGCAAGCGAGGTTCCACTGAAATAAGAATCATAATTATGTTTAATTCAACTACGATTTGTATAAACCATATATTACTTTATCTTATACTTTTATTAAAATAATTCGATATTTAATATTCGAATTAGTTTACTTCATGTCTAATGAATATTCTAATAAGAAAAGACAAACTATACTATATAAAAAATATATTTTCGTTTAAATTTTAGTAATACATATTCAATTTAAGAAACCAGTTATTGAATGATAATAATCTCGAGAAGCAAATCACGATTCCTCCTTCCTCTTTGGACGCAACTTTTGTATTCAGGTTATTTCTAATTCTACGGGATTAAGTAGCATCTTCTTAAAGTTTCTTGTCGAACTTTTTCTTGTATTCCATGTTGGGATCGTACTTCTTCGAAAGCCTCTCCCAATCGTTAGGCCTGTTCTTCATCAGATGACGGATCACCTTTTCGGCTGTTTCCTTTTGCTTCTCGTTGCATTTCAAACATTCACTCGATAATGCATCTGGTAGCGTCTCTGAAAGCAAAAACACAAAAGTATTATAATTATTGCATATACAAACAAATTTACTTAACAAATCGTAAATATGATTTTGTTATAAATTGATTTATTATTAAGTCTGTTTTGTTGCATATAATCAAACATGATTGTTTCTCTTAAATTACGATTCTTGTTAAGATTTTATTTGATATATTTTTCTAAATTATATTTTGAAGTTTGAGTTTAATAATTATAAATTTGGTCTGTAAACTTGTGTGACGGTATTTTTTATTTTTATTATGTATATGTATTTAGTTTTTGTGACTGTTGCGATATTATTATAATAGATAAAGAAGTCAGTGTTTTTGAAGTCAGTGATTAGAAAGTATCTGAATTCGATTTTATAAAACAATAGACCATTAAACTGTAGATTAATTGTAGTGATAATAAATGCAAAATCCTGTATGAAATCGCAATTTTAAGTTTATAATCGGCAAATTTTTCTAGTCAAATTTTCAAAAGAACTAGAAACAAGAGAGTGTTAATAAAGTATAAACTTATATCAAATATTGCAATAGACAAAAATAAATAACTTATAATTATTTTGTCTCGTTTAAACAAAAAAAAGTTATTAAAAGTGTACACTTATATATGATATTATAATTCACAAGAAATTCTAAAATCAGTTCAAGTAAATTAGTTTTCTTAAATCTTCGTAGAAAGTATAGTTATTTAAAATTATAAATTAAGTCAAAATAGTTTAAAAAATAAAGGTTAAAAAGGAAAAGCGTTATTTTATTTAGAAAGTTATATTTTATTATATACAACAATTCCGATTTTGTAACTTAAGGCCAACTAATATTTGTATATGAATTAAAGTAATAGTTGAATGTATTTGAAGGGAAAAAGTTTGGAAAGTTGATTGAACTATTGTGATTTTTTTTGTTGCGCCACTCATCGCAAATAAAGTGTACCGATAAGTGAAAGTTAGATTATCGAACGCGTTACAAGAGAGTTGCGTATATAAAAAAAATACTGAGTTTATTCGATTTTAGAATTGAAATTAAATATAATGCTTTGTTAATTAATAATAAGTGTACTCACTTTTCAATTCTCTTCCGTCCGGTGTGCAGGGTCCTTCTTCCATCAAACATTTGATGTAGTTGGAGAGGACACGGTTGTTGGTCAAAATCTGATCGACGTTTACGTTATCATATTTGTTGGTATATTTGTTTTGCGCTCGTACGTAAAGTATTATGCACAAAAGCAAGGTAACCGTCAGGAGTTTCATTGTTGAAGAAGTGTGTCAAAGAACTCCAGGTCGTCTTTATAAGCGAGGCAGCCGGCCGCAGCCACACAAGGGGTGTCGGAGGAAAGTAACAGTTCACGTGATCCGAATAGGAAACAGTCAGTGACAAGAAACGCATTTCGATGATATTATCGTTTGACCCACATCGGGCTCTAGTACGACGTACGACGAGAGAGACTCTCTCACCGAGAGATCTTGTGGTTCGATAAAGTTTCTATTTCATTATTATTACATTTTTTCCTTCCTTCCAGTAAAAGCCTTCGTCTCGGAAAACACTTGCATCTTCTCATCTCGTTGACTACCAAATCCGGTGATCCAGTGAGAGTTATATTAGAAATTGGATCCAAATTGGTTCTGCTATACAACGACGCCGTCCATTACATTGTTATTCAAGATACTAAACGAAATAATTCATTCCCATTTAGTAGAAAGACAGAGAAAAAAACGTTTACAGTTACGTACAAACAACTGCATTTAGCTCAACTTGGTAATTTAAGTTTAGTTTGAAATACTGAAAACAGATGTTTGATATAAACGTATTTGGTCATTACATTGACATACACCAACTTGGACATTCTCCAGACATCGTTTCACAAAAATGCGAAACTAAAAAATATTTGCAAAACATCTTCATTATTTTAGGCACATCACCAGACGCTAAAGTAATCGGTGGTCAAGGTTATTAAATTCTGAATCATTTGCGTATCTTCATCGAATTCCAAACAGTATTTCTTCGGTCTCATCGAAATGTTATGAATAATAGACATTATTTGCTTGGTACATATATATTTCTATCGCGGTGCATATATTTATCACTTAATGTTACATATAAAAATATCCAACGAATATGTATTATAATGATATAATATATATATATATATATATGTTTATAAACCTAGCGTATCAGTCAAAACAAGTAAAAGTATATATTGACTATAGCGATCTACTGGGTTTTGTTATGAAAAACACATTAAATAATATCAATAAAATCACTACTCATAAAATTAAAAATACCCAAAAGGTATACACAACCATTACAGCAGCGATTCCGGTTGGTTGTAAAAACAAACAAAAAAATATATTTTGAAATATAAATTGGGTTTAAAAGTTTGGGAATCGCTGCATTACAATTTAAAATGTGTCAAATCGAATGGGATCGTTTAGAGTTGGCCTCTGCCTCTACCCATCCCTCGAGGCACGGCCCTTCCAGAATTGACTCCTCTGGAAACTCTTCCTCTGCCCCTCGTTCTACGTTCGCTAAAAACAATTCAAGATTAGTATTTGACATATGTTAAACGATATTTTACTCACCTTCCCAACGGTGGGAAATTTGTATCAGATGAAGCATCGGAGGCGCTCCTAAATAAATTTTGATTCAAATCATTTGAAGAACAATAAAAAAATATAGATTATTTACCCGCTTACACTTCCAGTTGTATCAGTCATAGAAGTAACTTGAGAAGACCTGAAAACAAAATTGTATATATAGCAATACCTCGCATTGTGTACCGGGCTAATCAGGGAACTAAATAGTTTTTAGTATATATATTGCTCAAAATTAAAACTCTTTGTGGTCCAGTGGTTCCATCATGGGACCACATAAAGAGTAAAGTATTATACATTTTAAACTAATTTAACCAAAAAAAAAATAAGTTGGGCCACAAAGGGTTAAAATTTAGTTTGTCACCATAGTAAATTATTGATGCAAGGGATTGCTGTATATACACATTCAAAAGATTTTGAATGAATTTATTAGAATTTACCCGTTATCTTCCGTGTTTGAATTAATGTTCGCATTAGTTGAAGGAACGCCGGAAAATCTGAAAGAAAGAAATTTATAAATGTTTTAGTAATATTGAGGTCATTAATTAGTATAAAAAGTGAAATATGAATATAAATCTTTAGAATAATAATATACAGTGGAACCTCGCTTAACGAGTATAATCCGTTCCAAAATTTCCGGCTTTTTACTCGTATAGTGAAACATTAAAAAATACACATAATATGTGTACACAAGTTTTAAAAATAATGTAGCAGGAGCGCAATCCTCGTTAAGCGAGGATCCACTGTATTTGAATTATTTTACCCGTTAGAAATTCCGTTTGCTCTAGCATATCCATTGGAAGCAGAATTCCTGTAAAACAAACAATACATTAGTTGACGTTTTTTTATTGAATTAATTTAATTCAAAATTATTATAGATGATACAATTATAGTGAAGATGAGTAAAACCCTAATATTTTGAATAGTACATATTTCTAGTTACCCTTTATTATTTTTACGAGACCTATTTTTTTTTCTGTTCGTGGATGATACGACAGACAATCTAGAAAAAATGATTATGATTAACCCCACAAAAAAAAATCGTTTGTGTAGAATAATAGTTAGTATTTATATCTGTGTACATAAATAAATTAAACTTAGAATTAAAAAACCTATCCTCAAATAAAAAAAGGGTAATACATAACTAATAAAAATGCAATATAAATTCATCAAAAAAATATCTATTGCTAAAGCATTAAATGATAACATTTATATAATTTATTTACATTTTTTTGAATTAATCCCTAATATTTCTGTCTGAAAATAATATAAGTCATAAATTTAATTTATTAAATTTATCAAGAATATCGAGAGCATCATAAAGAAAAAGCGTGGTTGACCATCGAATAAATTAACAATAAATAAAGAAACTAAAATTAGATATTACTCTTAACTAATTGTGTAATTAAAAATTAGGAGTTCATTGGGATTGGTATGGTTTTATGATAATCTCGACATAATTTTCTAAACTAATCGGCATTTTCGTTCAATTCGTTTTCTAAATCGAATAAATGTTCTAAATGGAACATACTGCATTCTAAGAATCTGCAAAAAAATAAATAAATGTTATATTGTAATCTGATACTTGAATAAACAAATATAACAAAATATTACACAAATATTTTGCAGATGTAGCAAAAACTTCTATTACTCCTCTACTTCAATTTGGTCAGTGTATTTGAGTACTGTTTCATAAGTCACGCCATTTTTTTTAGATAGACTTAAACTTTGTATTTTTTACAGACTTGTTTGTATGTTTTAAATGTAAACATCAGGTAATGTTGGTTGCATACATCATCTATCTGAAGCTGTATATATTTTAAATAAATATTTGAGAAGAAATATTTACATTTAATATAACAAATATATGTGAAAGACATTTGATAATATTATATATTTATGTTTTTTTTTATATATTTACATTTTCTATTGTTTAATGTGACTGTTATATATTAATTATATAAAAAACGGAAGTAAATCATAATATTAATTTTCTGTGATAATTAGTCATATTTATTGTTGATAGTGTTTCTAACAAAGTGTTGATACGTTTCACTAGTCATTCCTTTGATATATTTGTTTTCTTCGTCTTATCATATCATTATTCAGCAGGTTGATAGCAAAATATATAAAGTTTATGCTACATATGTTAAATATTTTGCTTATGATAAAAAATATTATTATTTATCAACGATTCGGTAGTTTACAAACTGCGTTGTAATTTCTATTGTTCCATTATTCAAGTTCGTAAAAGAAACAAACCAAACGGTTTCAATTTATTTGTTTTCTTAAAGACTTATCTTACTGCGATTAAAAAGACTGTTTAGTTGTGAGAAATAAATTTAATCAAACGTTTGTTGTGATAAATATGCTTTAGCAAATTAATAGTATTTGATTATTATGAAAGAAAACATGATTGTCTAAACAGGAAATTCAGAATATCATATTTAATATTGTTCTTGAACGTTATTTCATTTCACTTAATTTAAATTTGATAAATTAATATACAAATTGGTTGATTGGAAGTGTATTTTATCATAGATATCTGTAATAGTCGATTCCGTTTAAACGGAACATCAGCTTATTAGGGGCAAATCCTAAAGAACGGAAATAAAACCGAGCAAATAACAAATGGAAATCGAACTTCAAATAATTGAGCTAGCCGCTTAATCGGGATAAATATACTAATCCCGATTAAGCGGAAACAAAACAAATGTTTTTTCTCACCACTTATCCTACTAGGATTACCTGGATTAGTTTGTTGTCATGAATATGCTTTAGCAAATAAAGTATTTGATTACATAGGTAGTCAAAATTGTATGAAAATATATGAATACATAAACAGAAACTTAAGAATAAGAAATTTGATATTGCTATACATGTTTGTTATTTCATTTTCCTAAATTTAAATGAATTATGACGATATTAAATTGAAGAGTAAAAAAATATATAATGAAAACATACCCATTGGCTGAAATTTCGACCGGATTATTTTCCTTATTTTCGACCTAAAATAAAACAATAATATTATTGGTAAATATAACAATGCAAAAATAACATACATTAATTTGTAGATTTTGGGTTAATCTAGCCAGTTCTTGGAATCGAGCACGCTCGGTCTTTCGAAAACCTTTTCTAACAGAACCAGGTTCCACATCCAATCTGCGTACAATCTCTTCAGAAATGCAATATTCCTCCGGATTGTAAGAGGGATCATCATCCTTAATGGACGAAGCAAAGATTTTATAGTTAAACCTAAATCTAATATTAGCATTGTAGATAAAACTGTCGACACTTACTGCGTCCCATGAGTCAACTTGGTATAATATTTTTTTCTCTACTATTGGGTATAATATCTCAGAATGTTCATTATCGTATTCATATGCACGCATATCCACAAAAAATCGGTCCTCACATGTCGTGACGTGGTGCTACAAGTTAATAATTAGTGTAGTAATAATTAAAATTATTCTTCTTGTAGTTGAATCATACCTGGTATTCGGACACCTGCAAACGGTGATCCGCGTTGTATGGACATATAGCCAAATTGATGTTTGATGATCTTTGACATTTTACGACGTGCGTAGAAAAACGGGCTTCGCCAATAAAGTGAGCTTTTCCTCCGTAAGGGCAGAGGATGAAATTCTCTCCGTTTGTCCAGAGAACGCTAAAAAAATTGAATTTCAATCAGAAACATCAATATAGCCTTGCAAATATTTAAAATAAATGACAATATTTAAATGTAAATAAAATCAAAACTTCTATTATCTTCAAACTTAACAAAATATGAAGAACACATCTCGACGGCAACTAATAGAAATTTCAATAAACGTAGTAACAACAGATATTGGATTTTAAGCATTAAAAATCGTTAGATGAATGATGGAAATAAAGCTGTGAACATTAAAAAAAAATCACAAAAATCCAACAAAAGTTTAAATCTTATCGGGAATAGAAATGAGATATTTATTAAAAATGGAATAATGTATGGCAGAACAAGCATACACGAAATATATACTGTCCTAAAAAAAATTGGGTTCAAATTTCGCGGGGTATTAATTCCCGGCGAAATAGGAAATGAAAACACAGTACTGTAAGTACCAATTGATTGTAGAAACAGGGCATTATGTGGCGAAAATGAGAGCGCAGACATATATTAATTACAAAAAAAGTTATCACAGACAACTAAAATATGAAATCCAATAGAGGTATCAGTATATAAGCAAGCAATTGATGGCAGAAATAGGGCAGTACGCATTAAAAAAACATTCAAAGTACAGTCTTGTACAAATAACGAGAACGTCGTCAAGAGAATAATAGTAGACATAAACAAAAAAACAGGATACAGTTTGCGCGCTTATAAATGATCAAGTATATAAAGTTAATAACTTTAGCTATAAAATAAAAGTATTCGTACATCGGAAATCATTCCCTATATTAAAAAAATGCACATACAATACTGATAAGAACCGGTAAAAGATTTGAAATCTCTTAAAAAAAAAACTTATTAGAAAAAACTAACCTCATTGTGACTGTTTTGCAAAATGGCAAACAGCAAAATATCAAGTTCGATGCTGAATAATTCTTCACTAGAATTTCCAGAATAACTTGTAGCTGGATCTTTTCAGGACACTGATGTTCGGAGAGATGTTAATTGCACGGATCCCAGTAGACGACACAATTCAAATAAGTTTCTCACAGATATTTATACCTTCTTTCCCCCAGATACTTCAGCACTTTTTGCGAGCTTTACACCATTCTGATTGGTTGACGCCTTAAGCTGCAACTTCGTGGTAACCATATTTGAGATTTTCACCAACAGAGGACACCTGTACTTATCATTTAAATTGTGGATATTATTAATTCTTTGTAAAGATTTGCTGAAATAACAATACATAACTAGTAGTATTTTACTAATAACATTTAATTAATATATTTTTTTAATATTAATTAATTTGAATTAGTTCTTCAGTAATTTATTTTTATGGACTACTAATGAAATAGTTAATGCTTTAAATTATTCTCTCCCCTGGTGAGTCATTGAAGATAAGACTTTCAACCATATAATTAATTACTTAAGTGAGTATTAATTAATTTACATATTTTACTGTATATAATGTTTGTTATCTAATAGTATAATACTATTCAGTGTATTTTGTTATAAAGAAACGACACATTATCATGGCTAAACATATTTCAACTCAAGTTTCAATTTCAATGTATATTTTGCTATATTATTTTCAATTTATCTTAAAATAATAAATGAAATACTATATATAGAATATATACACAATTATATTTGTTTATATAAGTGTATAAAAATCTAAGACTAAATAAAGCACTTTTAGGTGATTTACATACTTTTTGAGATCAAGCTAATATTGTATTATATTTTGTTGCACTTTCTTATTTATTAATTCTATATTAAAATTAATATAAATTTTATTACAATAAAATAAGCAGGGAATTAAGAAATGAATTAAATAACTTTGTATTTGTTATTTATTTATTAATTTTTAAAATTTGTATTGAAATTTTCTTATTGTGTTCAAATCATAATGATTAAAAATAAATGTAATATTTTGATAAAATCTAATAAATACTTAGTTAAACTAATACTAGTATTAAATGTAAGGTAAATATATAAATACAAATATTTAGTACTAAAAATGATAAGTATTTAGTATACATAAAAAAATAATCGACAAATCCTATAGAATGTGCATTTTAATAAACACATGCTTTATGTTATCTTCTAGATTCTATTGGTAATTAGAGTACTTGTCTACCAGAGAAGCCCATATTTCCGGATATCTGGACTGCACGAATCTGGTGATCCTTTTCACGTTGTTCAATTGAACCCTGTCGCAATTCTGGCATCCTCTGCCAATAATTTCAGGAAGGGCGGCTGCAAATCAACGAATTAATAACACTACCATAAAAGAAAACCAAATTACCTTTAATTTGTTGTCCCCATGCATCGCACGGCGCTTCATCCAAAGCGCAAAGCAGCTGTTTTTCTATGTATCTGTTACCCTGGCACTTCACCAGAGACACCAGAATGAGGACTGTTGCGAATACTTGAAGGCACTTCATTTTACTGCATCTCCATCACGTCGACGACACCTTTTTATTAGGAATTTACGGATCGTGCCTTTTCATAATTACATTGTTTTCGTGAAACAAAAAAAAAAGAATGTATATAATAATATTCGTACGTAATTTAGGATCATGCGGATTTCTCTTTTTCAAATTGCGCATCTTGGGCAACTCGGAAGCACGCAGCATTGTGCTAAAACGGTAACATTTCCTGCCAATTACGTGTCATAATGTCATACATTTAATGCTTCTAATAAGATATCTAGAAGAAAATAGCAGAGATGTATTAGAGTAGTTGCAGTGGAATAATGTGCAAGAAATTTAGAGAAGAGAAAACACCCTTGTGAAATAATACACTTAAGGATACTACATAGGTACAATATGAAATATGAAGTCGAGAGTTAAACACTTATATTTTTTTTTACTTTTTGAAGAGGTATATTTGAAAGTGGAAATAATCTTTCTTTGTAAAACTCATTTTAAAAATACACAATTAGTCACAGCTCGTAACTCATGTATAAATAATTTGATTCGTATAATCAATAAATGTATAAATATTTATTGTCAATTGCCTTAAAACTTGATTACTTTTATCAACTTCCACGTTAAGTATCATAAATATTATTAAAGTGCTATTGTTGTGCTCATTTAAATAAATATACACATGTTTGTATATTACAACAGTTAGATCGATAATGTATAAAGTCTTGCGTATAATTCTCTTTAATTACACTTATTACTAACCAGTTCAACGAAACGCTCAATAATATTTATTAAATATAGTAGATTTCGTTAGATTTCCGCCTTGTAACTAGTTACTTTTTATTAATTCGAAAGTGCAAACGAATAAGTTTTATAATTAATATTTGACCACATATGTAAGGAATAACCTCGCTTAGAATTGAAAAACCTATGACAACAAAATTGTTGAATCGATAAAGTATATATTTTCTTTATTTAATATACAAACTAAATGAATAATGAAAATGTGAATCTCATCAAAGTTCAGTTATATTTTGATTTTGCTTTAAAATTAATTTAATTATATCTGCTTTAAATCCAAATGATTTTATATTTTAAAAATTTAATGCAACTGTCTTTTGTTGAAACAATAAAAAGAAGATATCAATGTTTGTTACAAATATTTAAAAAAAAAATCACGTCTTGGATTAAACTTGAAAACGACTTAGCCGATATTGATTTCACCTTGCAAGAAGAATTGATTGAACTTAAGAAGAATTTGAAAATTCTAAAATCAATTTTCTAATAAGTGGATTTACCAAATTCTGGAATTGCAAACACAAAGCTACGGAAATTTAAGGACTGAAATGACGGGATCTGGATTTAATTTTGGACTTGAGTTGTTTGGAATGGGAATAGAGGTTTAGTTTTGTATCTTGAAGGGTATTTAAGAAGTGGCGATGGGAATATGGGATGATTTCTTATTGTAACATGGGAGGATGAGGGGGATATGCAAAGATAAAGAGATTTGTCTTCGATTGGTTTATTTTAATGCGAAGGTTAAGTGTAGCTAATTGAAAGGAGGAGCTGTGGGTAACCAATGTAGTGTCATCAGCGTATTGGGGGAGAAAAAGGTTGGGATCACAGGTATTAGGATCGGATATATACAAATCACAACAAAAAAAGTTACATAACAGAAGAGACAGAGGTGAGCCTTGCAGGACACCCTGAAGCGAGGAAAAGTATCTGAAGAAAAAAATTATATTTTAATAAAATTACGATTATCCTTGGTAATTCGGAAATGTTAAAGCAGGGATAATTGTTAAGCACAGTTAATACAAACATCGGGTTTATTTGCTTTAAAAACTTAATGTGTATTTATATACAAAAACACATTTTTGATCATTTTAAAAGACAATTTTGTTATAATGTTTTAATTGTAAAATTACTTAGCTTATGAGACCCAGATTATCGGCTTTTTACTGTACCTCGCATAGTCCGAAAATCCAATGAACAAGAGTGAAACCGGACTATACGAGTAATTGCTGTACTTATTTTTAATTCGTCGAATTGTAATAAACTTGAAATTGTACGTAAAAGCCGTTCCGTAATTATCCCCACTATTTAATATTCCTCAGCAGAAATTGATCGTTCACAGAAACTAGAAACCATGTGAACACTAATAGATGTTCCATCGCCAAAAACATAACAATATTCTATAGTTATTATAATTTCAAATTTCAGTTAAATTAAATCGTGCCAAAATAATACAATGACCGAAATCAGAATATCGATTTAACAAGTTTAAAACCAGACACAACGGAATCATAACAATCACAACAAACACAGAGAAATCGATAATACTGTTTCGCGTTTATGAAACATAATTGCCGTTAAAGAGTTAGAAAGATGTCAACAAATACTGCAGATATTGTTATTGTAAGTACATCTATTGATTTAAAAAAAAGTGTATTATGTCGTTTATTTCATTACTTTATATTTCAATTTACTCAATACTTTTACAGAATTGGTTGGTTTGTGTTTTGTTTATTTAAATCTATTTTATTCAATAGTCATTAGAAAATAACGTTTTGAAGTTAATAACCTAACTAACCTAATTATAATGTTTCTCTAAATTTTTATATTTAACTGCCAAAATATAAAAATTATACGTTGTTTTTTTTTTCAAGAATTTTATTTATACATATAAACTAATTTTATTAAAATTATATAATTGTTTGAACAACAATTAGAATCTAAGAAAATATAATTATTCTTCTATCCATTCAAGGCTAAAGGTTAATAATATTAATATTTAAATAAAATAATTGGATGATTCATATTTAGAATGAAATGGAAATCAATAAGATGAGTGACGAAAGCGCGTTATACCGGGCGATATCGTGAGAAAGAGTGTTTTCAAAGTATTTAGTTTTCATTTAGTCGTTCAACATCAATGTGTCATGTATAAAATGGAAGAAGTAAGTAAATTTTATTATTTTTAACAGTTGATTTCATTCCATTTTTTTTTTGCTTTTCTTGAAATGTAATACATTTTGTATTTTCACTTGAATTAAGTTTACTATTATTGATTAAGTCATTATTGTATGTACGTAAAGACTGCGGCCAATAACCTCATATATTCAATCAAATCTTTTCAATTTTATAAACAGATCAGTAATAAATAAGAATTAGGGTTTAAATAGACGGTCTTAGAATTTCAACTTTTCTACTTTCACAAAAAAAAATAGAAAAAAACAAAATTTCTACAACTTAATTGCTCACACGAATATATTGCATATACAAAATTTACTGAAATATAAAAAAACTCTCAGTTGCTAGAAAACTGGGTTTAATCGTCTTTAGAGCATTAAAACATGAACCAAATTATTGGTTCTTCTGTTTTTTCAAAACAAGCTATGGTTTGTTTTTCGCAGTCATCTTCTATTTAATAATTTTATACAATCTTCATAATATGTATCCAAAAACCTAATGAAGCTATTGAATGAAATGAGCAGTGTTTGTTTAAACGTTCTGTGGATTTTGTAACTTAAGTAAAAACATTACTAAACTAACAGAGACGATTTTGTGTCAATATTTTCATGTTTTCAATCAAATAATTAATTAATTTTTAAATTTTAAGTTTAGTCAAAAGCCGGTTTTTCAATTGGAGAAAAATCCCGTTTTCGAATTACATACATTTCCAAACCCTAATAAGAATACAATGAAAATACTCAATCAAACAAAATTAGAAATTTTAATGAAAAATTTCGATTTTTCGTAATTTCTTTGCTCTGATTTTGTAAGTATATTACTAAGTAATTTGCTCAACAGTTTTGTTATAACTTATGACGAAAATATACATTGTTATAAAATTACCCAATGTTGTATTATTAATATATACAATTCAGTGCTAAAACAAAAACGAATAGAAACGTGATATTAAAATATAAACCATTTATCTAATATTTCTAGTAAGAACTGAGTATTAACATGATTACTGTTTAAAATAAATTTCTAATTATATTCTAAATAATTAATGAGATTATCATTTATTTAAAAAAAATCTATTTTATCAGTTTTCACCTACAAATATATAAATATATTTAAATTACAAGTCGATTACATTGAACGTAATTTACGTTTACTTTTTGTACTCTTTGTGTTTGGTAGACTGAAACGCAACACCGAAGCAGGAAATAGATTGTGCAACAAAGAAGAAATCGTTTGGCAATCGGTTGATTTCATCGAACACAACAAAGTGTTTATTTTTATGTTCGATTATAATTCCAGATAGTACAGATAATCGACGACTATCGGTTTAAGTTTGTAAAAAAAAACAAGTAGCGTGGAGGCATTGTTCCATGTGATTTTGATGTGTGTATTTCGGATTCAGTTTCGTGTATTTTTCATGTGATTGATCATGTTAGAAGAGGTTGAAAGCTCCAGAGGGAGCACGACGAATGCTGATGGAAATGTAGTAGCTACGATATTGGTAAAGTTCAATATTTGTTTTGTTCAATATTTATTTGTTATTTATTGCGTTCGAACTTTAACTATATTGCATTATATTACAACTATTATCTGTATTTTAGATAGAAAATCTTAAGAAGAAAATCACGCGAGCACCTCGCATAACGAGCATTTTCTTAATAAATTGTAAGAAAAATGACCCCCGACGTTTCGCATAACGAGTGACCATCAACGCCTGCTACATCATTTTTAAAACTTGTGTACACATATTATGTGTATTTTTGAATATTTTGGAACGGATTAAACACGTTAAGCGATGCTCCATTGTATTTCTTTATTATGAAACTTTGTAAATAAATCTCTAATTTCCCCAATTAAATTTATTGAAAACTTACTTATTTATACTACAATTTTTTCAATGGTCAATTTGAATAACCTTATATTACTCAAATAAATTAGACATTTTTGTTTTGATATCGTACTTATTATAGGTTTTTTTTCAGTTTTATGTTGATGGTCTTTACGGTAGAAGTAATATGTTCGGGTTTATTTGTTTCCAATTATTTTTTTGTGATTCCAAATGAATTATTTGTAATTTAATATTATGTATCAAACTCTGTGAAACTCATTATTATATCATATATGTACGTTTTTATATACAATTTCTTGTTATATTTAAGTGCATACATAAAAAGCATATATTTTTTTAGTATCTGTGACTAATGATAATAGAAACATATGGAACCAAGGGTCAAAAACAACTTATTTTTTGAAATATTTCTATTTTTGTCAATAAATAGTGAAAGGCTCTTATGGAATAATCGTCCCTGATCGGTGTACTTCTTTCTTTGTTTTAAGTTCTGAATAAATCTACGTCGTCAAAACAAATTGTACTAATTTTGCCATATCTTAAGCTATTATTTTCGCACTTTATCAAAAAATAATTTACTTAAAATATAGTTATGGTATACTAATTGTACAGTAAATATTATTTATTAAGGACATAAGGAGATTTTTATTTGAGCAAATGAGATTATTTTTTTTAATTAAATAATTATTATTACTAAAATAAAATAAAAACATACATATTTCAAAGATAAAATTACAAATTTAAAATACAGATGTAATAAGTTCCTTTATTTAAATTAAAATTATATTTTCTATAAAAATAAACTAGAAAAAGTTGTGAAATATAAATTGCACTAAAGTGAAATGCATTGTCTTGATTATATGAGGATTAAGTAGTTGTTGTACTAAATCGTATAATACATACTAGATAACATTATTTTTTTTATTGTATGGAGAACACTAACTGTGTATCATTTTTGTCATGTTCTGTAGTAGATTTGTTATTGATAAGATAATGCAATAAATAAATTAATTGGATGATTCATATTTAGAATTAAATGAATTTTGTTACTTTCTTTTAATATGTTCATAAGATTTTCTTTATTATTTTACGATTTGTATATATATGAATAGAAACAAAAAAATAATAAACGTATCAAAGAAAATATATAATACGTTTTTTACAAAATAAGTTTTCCTGTTTGAAGAGTAGGAAATGTAATAAATAGTTTCACTATTCACAATTGTATAAAAAGTAAATTTTGTGAAATACTTGAATACTATATTGGAATATTTTTATTGCAGAAACTAAATCCGTAGATAAACGGTTAGGTAAAGAAGTATAGATTATATCTTCCCTTCCGAGAACCATAACTAAAATAATTAGAGAGAAGAGTGATAAGACCGCTATAAGAAAATCGTCCGTTCACTTTCTCAACAGTCAGTATAACTTTCCTGTCAACCTTATCCGCCATTCATAACTTTCTTCACCACACTTCAATAGCTCTTGCAATGAATCGATAAACGGAGACCTTCATTATCGACAACTTTTTTCCTGGACATCTCAACAATAACAATCTTCTCCACGTTAATAGTTCTTGCATCATCTGCAACTTGTGATCATCCACAAATAGCATCTCCTATGCATGCCTCATCACAACGATCATCTGCATCCACGAAAAGGATATTTTATGTAGCAGTGGGCATAAACTATACATTTGACGCCCCTCATCAACTGCAATCAATGATTTTATATTTGTTTATGAAAATTTGCCGCTCCTTCCTATGTGCACCTTTGGACACATACGCAGTTTACCCATTCGGTAACGCTTGTCCTGTTCACAAAATATATTTATTTCTAAAATTTAATTTGCAATATAATAATTAAAAAAATCTTAATTATGTAGTTTTCTATGTCATTTAGAGAAATAATGCGTGTGTCTTTTTTTACAGAAAACATTGGATGCCAACAAATATGCAACAAAGAAAACGATTGCGCAGGGTCTGCTGGACGTGGCCCTGCTCACTGCTAATGCATCCCAATTGAAGTACATCCTGCAAGTCGGAGAGAAACACGAGTTTTACACGCTGATGCTAACGCTGATCATAATCTCAATTGTCCTTCAGGTATGGAACTATGGCGAAATCATCAGCAATCTTAACACTTGTTCTCCCGCACACAGGTGGCAGTTGGTGTTTTATGTTTAACGCTAAATTTATTACGCGACTGTCGCTTGCACATTGAAGACTACCACTCTTCTGCCCAATGGCTCAATTACTTTACCACGACCTGCGCCTTCTTTATAACCGTCCTCAACCTTTTAATATCATGCTTCGATCCTACCATCGCCAAATACGCGATTTTCGAGGCGCCCAGCGTCGACGGCTCTTTGTAATAATGCAAAACTGTAGAACTTGATGCAGAAGAAGTGTTGCCTTTCAAATTGTATCCAACTATTAATTGCATCCACGTCCACTAAATTCATACGTTTTTTGTTTGTTTTTTAGCTTGTGGTGGCGATTTTGTTCGTGATTATCGGCGGGCTTAACATTAACAAACAATCGGATCATACCGTTGCTATCATCCTGAACGACGTCATTCTGATTTTCGTTTTTATCATCTCCTTAGTTAACATCATCATCTCTGGTTTTGGGATCGAATACTCCAATCAACCATTGAAACTGATCAACCAAACACCCATGAATTAGATCTCTACTTCTTGTAATTGTTCTGTGTTTTGTTGTACACAGGTCACGGCCGCTTTGATCTCAGTCATCTCGGCAATACTCATGGTTAACGAGGGCTCGAAATACTGTCTCATCGCGGCTATCCTTAATCAAATATCATTGGGCTTTGTCACTGGTGCCTTATTTTGCGATGTCATCAAAATGAATTTCGGATTAGATCCAGCGATCGCCGTCAATGTCACTATCAAATAGTTCATAATATTTAACATACACATTCCATCCATCAACAAAATTATTCATGGTTGTGGCTGCTAGTATTAAGAAGTATCATTGCTTTTACATTACTTCATTCACATAAAATACATTCTTCCAAAATTATTTTGTTAATGTTTTCATCATTCTTTTATCCTTATATTTTTCTTTTCTTTTTATTTACTTCATTTTTTATTTCGTTTCTTTTTTGATTTTTCATTCTTAATCCTCTCCCACGAAGATTCTGCAAGGCATCCTGTGCATATTCCTAGGAACTGGAGTCGACATCAACGAGGAGAAAGATGCGAAGCAAGCTACGAAGGCCAATAATATCATGTTGTGTTTGAATGTATTATCTGTTGGTATAAACGTCTTGATAAGTGCATTTGAGATGAAGGAGGATTATGGTTCATACGCCACCTCCGAACCTAGTTCCATTACCACACCGTTATTACCTGTTGGATGATGATACATTAGTTCTAGAATATGCATTATAAAATATCCGAACACTGACAAATTATTATATTTATATTATATTAGCATTAATTTATTAATAGGAAATATACAAATAAATTGTATTTTATTCTTATACTTGTTTATTATTTTAACCATTATTATTAAAAAAAAAAACAAGTAATAGCAAAGGCAATAAACTTAATTTCTTAAGAATTTTAGTGTTCCAATTAAGTAGTAGTAGTATGTTAGAAACTTAACAACAACATATGCATTCACTCCAATATTTTTTCGTGGGCCCCAAAAATTCTTGTAGACCTTAAAAAATCTTGGGCCCTATGCACTATGTTTAATGGCTAAGACAGCTCTAGTTTCAACCAACAACACTACTCAATTTATAAATTCTATAAACTTTAGAGCAGTGGTTCCAAAACTTATTTGGCCTACCGCCCCCTTTCCAGAAGCCCCCTGGAAATTAATATTTTTTAATTTTAATAGTCCCATTACAGTTATTCGTTGCCCCCCCCCCAAATGCACCTGAGGCCACTTTGGGAATCACTGTTTTAGAGTAAGATAAAGTTTTGGCAAAACTATAATTAAATAAATCCTCAAAATAGATCCTTCGGAAATTTACTTCTTCTTATGGTTTGAAGACAAAACCTTGATTTTCTTTCAAATTTATCAGAATAATAACATATATGACATATTATGTCACCAATCACTACTTTATCCATATAGTAATAATAAAAAAATATTACTTAATCTACCACCCTTTTCTGTGCATATTTGAATTAACCATTTACTGAATAACTGAAAACCAGATACCGAAATTACTAACAATAATTAAGAAAAAAGTTAATATAATAAATATCTGAAAAAAATGGATTAATTTCTATCTTGATTTTGCTAATGTTACATATAACAGGGAAAGATTAGAAAACTTCCTTCTCAATTTCAATTCAATTTTAAAATTCTTTATTCAGTGTAGATGCATATACAATGGTGTTATTATTAAGGGGTGGCGTACATGTGAGCTTGAGCTCATTTAGCCAGAAACATAATGGGTTATTTAATGGTACAAAAAAAAAAGTTTTACAGTTAAGGGTTTACTTCATTCTCATTGTATGTTTTATTATATATACAATGGAAACTCAATAATCATAATCCGTTCCAAAATTTCCGGATTTTACTCGAATATTACTATTTTCCGCATAGCCACCACAAATTTTGTTGGTTTTTGGTATCAGATTTTCGTGATACAGGCGACCATAGCCATGCGGCTACGGCCACCCTATTTGTAAAATAAAGGTGCAAAAATGGTGCATTGTACAGTGACATCTATGGTGAACACACCATCCGCAACATGACGTTAACTTTACCTTCCGGTCACCAGATGCCAGCAGCGCGATGACAGTGACAGCATTCGGTTGGTGTCTATTTAACGCTATTAAAAAGTAAGATCATAAACAGTTTCCATGGCGACGATGATGAGTATTGTTTATAAATTAAAATTGTATAAATAATGAACGCGCATGCACAAAATTTAATAACTTTCAGTGTTGTTGTCAGTCGGTGTCCGCAGCTGTCCGTATACACAGTGCCGAAAAGTGACATAACATAGGAAGAGACTGCAGCAGCTTGTGGTGAGCGCAAAAAGGGGGAAAAGTGCTGCAATTTACCAAAACCAAAAAAGAATACCATGCTCACATAGTCCTGATCGATTGCCAAAAGGACACAGAGCATCCACCATCTAACATCTCGATGGTGTTCAGTTAATATTCATCGACAACGAAGCAACCAAGAACGTCGTCACCATCACAATCACAGTCAGATTTTGTAAATCATGTCGAAGGTAATGCAATTAATTTCGCTTACGCTCGTACAGCACAGGATGAATGCCATTCCACTGCGTTTCGCTTATCAAAAATTATTTATGATGCAGTTACCTACGTTCCCATCCATTCATTCACCTTTTTTCAACAATTCTTCAAATACATTCAATTATTTGAAACGTATTTCCAATATCCTCCAATTGGATTCACGCAATGAATCAAACTGCTTAAACTAATTAATCTACGATGCATAACAAACTGATTAGATCACAAAATACATTGATTGCGTCTTTTAATTAAATAGTTTACATGTTTTTGTTTAGAAGATACCATTATATAAAATTATCTAAAGGTATTTTATATAAACCACTGTCCAAAGTACAAGTTCTATTTTTATTCACTATTATCAATTGTATTAAAATCCCTGGTAAAAGTAGTATTTCTTATATAAACATTTAGTAAATGAAAATGTGCCAGACTAGTAAACATCCAGAATGAAAAGAAAACATGTTTTTGTTTGTGTCCTCAACAAACTCATGCATATTCATGGACACAATTAATATATGGTCTGTTGTCAGTATTACCCTTTTGCTCCTTTGTACTTATTTAGCAACGCCAAGGAAGTTTACACCAAAAATAGACTTCATGCACTTTTTATTAATTGAGAATCAATGTTTAGCGATCGGCGAACAACAGTTCGCATTTTAATTATTCACAACTATTACTTGTATCAAATATGCACGAAACTGAAAAAAGGGGAATAGAAGCGATTCTGCAGTTGGGTGAATCGGTGAATTACATTCCATAGACTTAATTGGATAATGCTTATAATTTATTAATCGCCTGCACTTGTTGTTTCCCACTAATTTTCTTTGCGTGCTTAATTTGCTTTTGGACAGGAAACAACACATTTTATCTACTGATTGCAACTATTTATTGCAAAAAAAAAACACGTGACAAGAATAATAACGAAATTTGCCGACTGTTGTTTTCGACGATATGTGCAATTTTCAATATACGCTTATTAATATTTAATAATATATGGAACAGTATATTTCATAACTAAAATAGAAACTTCTTTATTTTTATGCTTTAACGTACCATTTTCTTTCTAATTATGTAATATTCAATTAACTATGATATTTATTAGAGATATTTTCAAGTTTTATTTTATATAATCTTTAGTACAAAATGTTTACTACAAATCAAAATCATAATTAAAATATTTACATAATCACTTACAATTTTATTCAGCACTAATTATATTCATAATTTATTTATATTTACATCAAATATTCATGACTGTAATTGTATTGATACATTATTTCATTTAAATTAAACTGAATAGAAAAATAAATGGGATTAGTATAATTTTTAATGATTAACTTTTTAATTAAAAGTACAATTGATACGATGAGAAAGCTGATATGAGAGCCAGATAAAATGTATGTCACTTAGAGATACCTTTTACGATTCTTTATTGGTAAACAAATTTATATTAAGAATAAAGACATGACTAATATCAGGTGAATTAATGCTTATAGTAATGAAAGTAATAGGTGAAGTAAAAAGTTCTGAGCATTTTTCGTTACGTCATTCTATACTGCGACTTAAAGCCGAAATAACGCTTTAAGAAAAGTTCTTTGAAAGTTTTGTGTTTACATTCTTCTGTACCACTATGACCAGAGGGAAAAGCGGAACAGGGGGCCAAAACATTTTGTGATGTTTATGCAATACAGTATAGATTGCAACAGTAAATCGTTGCTTCCAACGCTTCCGTTCTGGTAACATGGACGTCGAAGATGAGACATTTCTAGTAGGCCAATCGTCGAAAATATTGATAAAATCGTCGAGTTGGACCAACATGCGACCACTTATTCCATTGCTCAGGAACTGAAGATTAGCCAAAAAAAAACCGTTTGGAACATTTGTATAAGGCGACCAGCACGAAGAATCTCGATGAATGGGACGAAAGGCTCAGAACTTTTTACTTCACCCAATATTAATCAATCTTTTTGTCTATATTTTAAATTTAATTTAATGCAACAATCATTCTATATATGATTTATGTCCTACTAACGTATTTCTGAACATACTTTTTTTTAACTGCATTTAATTCTATCTGAACGTGATATTTGTCGTGTTACTAAAGTTTCTAATTATAATATTGAATTTGTTTCCAAGTATATTATACAAGTTTTGCGTACATTTATTATATTTTATAGTTAGAAAAAAAATCACAAATTATTTTATTTATAATAAAATTATTAAGTAATCTTATAGATTTTATATTAAAATAATTTAATATTAATTGAAGTTATTATATTATTGAAAACAAGGCACATGTGAGTGCAACTTGTTATTAATTTTTTTTTAAGACATGAAAATTAACAAATTACAATTGGATTTGCGATGTTTTATTATTTACTTTTTGAACTATGAATAACAAAATAATGCAATGAATTATATTATATTTAAATAGAGATGCTTTATCCAAATTTAAAATACGTATTGATGTAATTTGTATAGCTTTTTTTTAATTTGTATTAAGTAAATTTTCAAAATGAAAAAATATTAAGTTCATTATTGTCATTTAAGATTTGATTTGGATGCATCGTAAATTTAATATGGAGATTAGTATTTATGAGGTCCGGTTACACCATAATCTAATCTTAATGATTAAAGCAAATGTGAGATTCTTTCAATTGAAACAACGATGTTTGTATCCATTAAAAAAAAGTGACAAATCGTAGTATAAAATACATCAGTAAATATATACTTTCTGGCTATAAATTGATAGTTTCAATCATTTAATAATGATGACCCATCATAAATACAATCGATTTTTCTGTATGCATTATTGACCAACATTTATCAAGTGCTCCTTTTTTTTAAACAGTGACTCGATAAGTCATTTATATTTTACGTATTCCGAATGAGATATTTTATAAATGAAAATAATTTAGATTTGCATGAAACTCTTTGTACATAATATCGCATGCACATCAATTTACAGCAAGTCATTAATAAACTTGATAAACGATAATCATAATGTATAGGCGTGAAAGTTACAACAACTTAGTACAAATTGTTACGCAAGGAAAACATCCTTTAATATAACAATCCTTCAGTCCTGCTTATCAATTTCAATATTAGTACTGTAATCAACTAGATTTTTTATAATAATCAGATTAGATTACGAGTATTAATTTACATATTTGTTCTTGTTTTAGGGTATGTTGAATCTGAGGCAAAGGAAACACGAGAAGGCCTACCAGGAGAACCTAAATGGCAACAGCCAGAAAGAAAAGTATAAAACGTATTCCCCGCTGCAGGCCAGCCATTTTTTCTCGCTGTTGGGATTAATAATAATTGTGTTTGCCGCTGTGATCGTCATTGAAAAGCAGTTGCCCATCGGTTTAAAAATAGAGAACGAGCATCGTCATCCGAACAGGTTCATCGCCGAGAGGTCCTACAATTATTTGAAGAAGATCACATCTCTTGGGCCAAGAATCGCTGGCAGCCATGCGAACGAGGTGCTTGCTGTCAATCTCCTCAGAGATGAGATCGAAGGAATCATGAAGGAGGCTCAACCGAACAACGTGTTAGAGCTAGACGTGCAGAAAGTCAGCGGGGATTTCGCTTTGAAATTTCTGGATGGAATGACTAATGTTTATAGGAATCTTCAGAATGTCGTTGTTAAAGTCGGATCGCATATAAGATCGAATCACAGTTTGCTGATTAATTGCCATTACGATACTGTTGTCGACAGTCCAGGTGAGAAGAATCACAGTAACACGTGTATAGCTTTGATTGCATCGCGATATAACGTTAGATGAATATTTTATTAACTGGGAATTCTGAGATTCTTGACCTAATTGAAGCAAATGAGTCTGTTTAGTTAACCTATTGTCATTGAGATAATAATTTAGATTTGAACTAAGCTCCATTTATTTATTTATTTATTGTAACAGTATGTGCACTCATTTCAACTGCAAAAATATTGTAATTGATAATCTAGAATGTATGCTTTGCTGATTAACATGATATATATAGTGATATAACCACAAACTTAATTAGAGAAACAATTATATTCTAATTTCGTAAATTTAATTATTTTCTCCATATTTTACAACTTCGGAAAGTTACTGCTTTATTCTCATTTCCTCCCAACTAATTCAAAATAAAAATGTTACAAACATCTATAGCAAATTGTTATTACTGAATAAAATTACATTCATTATAATACTATAGTAATACCAATATCCCGGACTGATTGAAACCGGACTGATTTTGCTCAATTTAAATTTAGTTTGACTTGAAATTTTCTATTGTGAATCCAGACTGATCGAAGCATTTACAATATATTTCGGATATTTGAACATTATTTGATTAAAATTACATGATCTTTTAATATGAGTCAAAAACTAACATATGGTAAGATTATTCAAGAGTGGAGATAAAGAGAGGAATAAATAAGATAAGAAATAAAAGTAAATATGTATTTTGCATTGTGGAATTGCAAAGAATGCTATTTTCATATTTATTTATATTTTTTGAGAAGAATGTTTGTAAATAATATAATTTTGTTTAAGTGGTAATACAGAAAATGAAAGTAATATAAGCAATCATTTACAATGTTCGAAATAATTTGAAATATTTATATGAACTAAATTGCGATATTTTGTTATTGTTCCATTATTTGTAAATTCATTAAAGATCACATCTATATTCGAAATGCAAAACATAATGTTCTTTGCAGTAACGTTTTCTATATCTATATTGAAACCGAGTTGAAAATATGATTTTGAACTTTTGTTTTATCGATTTTTAGGTGCCAGCGATGATGGTGCAGGTTGCGCTGTGATGTTAGAAATGCTTAGAGTGATTTCGAAATCTGACAAGATTCTGCGACACAACATAATCTTCCTTTTTAACGGAGGCGAAGAAAATTTTTTACCAGCTTCGCATGGCTTCATAACGCAACACAAATGGGCCAAGGAGGTGAGGGTGTTCATTAATTTAGAGGCGTGCGGAGCCGGTGGACGGGAAGTTCTATTCCAGGCCGGTCCACATCACCCTTGGATCTTAGAAACATACTCGGAAGAAGTGCCTTATCCTTACGCATCGTCGCTAGCGCAAGAAATTTTTCAAAGTGGTGTCATACCAGGTGATACAGATTACAGAATTTTTAGAGACTTTGGTAATATATCAGGTAACTTTTCATAATTTCTTGATTTCATTATAATGTAATTCATTATTTCAATTTTAGGATTAGATTTTGCTTGGTCTTCTAATGGATATGTGTATCATACGAAATATGATACTATCGAGCAAATACCTTTAGGATCCCTCCAAAGGACGGGTGATAATATCCTGGCATTGGCCAGGGGGATGGCGCAAGGTCATCAGTTATCGGACATTGATAGCCACAGGAACGGGAATCTGGTGTTCTTTGATTTTCTTGGCGCGTTTGTTATCCGATGGCCTATGCTTGTATCCGATCTCGTGAACATTTTGACTGTGATACTATCAATCTACTCCATTTATACAAATATTAGAGAAACTAGCAATGGTAAGCAGCTTGTAGCTTTGTCTTTTCTAAAGAAATTAATGATTTGTTGGTTGTAGTCATTGCTGCAAAGACATACGTTTCGAAGCTGTGGAAGAACATAGGTGCTGTGATTGTTACTTGGCTGATAGCTGTTGGAGTTTCATTGGCCATTGCTTTGTTATTAAATGCTTTAGGGAGGACTATGAGCTGGTACGCTCGACCTCTTTGGGCTTTCTTTCTATATGTGATACCTTCGTTGCTAGTCACAATGGCATTATTAATAATGCACGCTAAAAAATACCATAAGGTACCCGAAAAACAACGATTCGAACAGTTAGACTAACCGCCTTATTTATTAGGATCTAGACGTGTGGCCTTGGGTGATGTTTCAATTATATTACGATGCATATCAATTAATCTGGACTATCGTACTTGCAATTGGAATCATGGTGAGAGTTCGTTCCAGTTTTATTGCTCTCTTGTGGGTAATTTTTCCTTGCATTGGGAATTTAGTGAGATCTAAACTATTCAGGACATGGAGAGGTGAGACATTTATTTTCAATTATTTTGTGTTTTATATATATATTTTAATGATTGGTATGGTATACGTAATCGTGTGTTCTGACATATTTGTAGATGGACGATGGCTATTGCTACACATAGCAGCATTGGGATTGCCCTTTGTGCAATGTTTTTACTTAATAATAGGCGCTCTGTATCTCTTCTTCCCAATAATGGGACGTGCCGGCGCTGGGAATAATTCGGAATTGCTTATAGCAGGCATGGTTAGCTATCTCTTCGTGTTGCTGTTCAGCTTTGCAAGTCCGATAATACTGCTCGTAAAAGACACATACAGAATACTGAATTTATTGTTCAGCTTATTCCTTCTGTCTGTTGCTGTTTTACTGCTAACTCCACTGGGATTCCCTTACGCCGGTGAAAATGGATCTTTGGCCCCTCAGAGGTTCATGCTGACAGTAAATTTTATCTAAAATGTAAAATGTTAATTGTGAATCATTGATATGATGTTTTATTCACGCAGCATACAAAACGTACCTTCCATGATTACTCTGGGGCTATTGTGAATGAATCGACCGGTTATTGGATCATCGATATGGACATTAATAGTCCTCACACAGTAGACAGATACGTTCCGGATATGACGAATGCAATTCCTATTGATCAAGATTGTGCTGATCATTTGTATTGTGGATTACCATATTTAGTGCCTGTATTAAGCATGATCTGGAAGACTCATTGGGTGCCTGGGCCTAAACCGGAACTGACTCATCCAATTAATATGAAGATAGTGAGTAGGGAGAAGACTGCTATCGGAGAAAAGCTGGAGTTTGTGATAGAAGGTCCATCGCATATTGGAGTCATGTTCTCTTCCGCGAAAGGCGTTGAATTGCATGGGTGGGACTTGGAGAGCGAACCCCTTCTAGTTTCTAATCCATGGCAGGATAGAGATACCTATTTCCTGTTTTACAATTGTGGCGAGAAAATCGTTCCTTTCAATTTCACCCTGGAATTTAAAGTATAAAATGATTACATGATTCATTATATTCATTAATTAACATGAACTTTGTTTATAATAGGTTAAGAAAAATCACGATGGTCCCATTCTGGACTTGGCAGTGACGTCTCATTACTTATTTGGACCATCAAAGAGCACATCGTCTTTTAAGAATTTCGTGAAACAATTCCCTCCGTGGACGGCCGTCTCTTATTGGACTGCAACATATGAGTCATGGATTCTTTAAACATATTTAATATTCCGTATGGAAAGCCCTCCATGTAAGTCTTGTGATAGAGCTATAAAACAAAACCGACTAAATTCCAACTTGAATCCGAGTACCTTGTTAACGCTATTATTATTGTTTTTCTTTTCTTTTTCGAACGTACATACTATTCTTAATTTTTAGGAGCTATTAACGTATCCCATTGTTATCCTTTATTTCTCCCGCGTAGTTACGTAAGTGGTACGTATGTCAATATTACACGTGAGCAAATAATTAGTATGTCAGCTCTAATTCGTGGTTCATTTTGAGCATCTGTAGTTTCACTCCTCTGTTATAACATGAATAATTTCGCTGGCATTTATTAAAGTTATTAACACGATTTCAATGGACTGTTACCATCAGCCGATCGTCAACATTTACATAAGTCATACATACACATGTTAGATAAGTCGGCGTTCCTACCAACTTATTACTAATTTCGCCGCGTCCAACTCTTATTTCCGTAGCCTAGTTTCAAGTCTATAAAAAAGTCAAAGTTTTGAAATTGCTGTAATTAATTAATTGATACACGTAAACGGAAAACGAGGAAGTTTTTTTTTGCTCAATATATAATATAGTTTTGCTAGTACAAAGTTCAATCTTTTAGTGTTTAATGAATTTATTGAAGTCAAAGTGTTAATTTACTATAAAATTCATTTTGTTTGTTTGGCTTAAAGTAGTTTGAAATTTATATCTAAAAGAATCATTGATTATTAATTATTACTATATTTATCGATAATAAGGTATGAAAACGTATGTATTTTATAAATACTTAATCGCTTGCGTGTTTTTGGGATGTTTTATATACGATTCGTCCAGCATATAATGAAACGAAAAAAAAAGAGAACAATATTAGCATTAATGTATTTTAAGTGAATTGGGAAGCTAAAATAGAATGTTAAAAAAATAAAGTCGTTTATTGTTTAAAGAACGCAGCTAATAAAATTGATCTAATTAAATTGCTTTAAAGTCTCAGGTTAACCGTATTTAAGTAAATTGTAGATATAGTGTTTACACGCATATTTTACTCCATCTTTCATTTTACAAACAGTGTCGATTATATCTGATTATATCAATTTTTATTCTTTTTAAACATTATATTTTTGCTTTAGCATAAGCGATTTTGATTTGTTAGAAGTGTTCGCAATGTCTAGTACTTTCATAGTCGGATTACAACCCAATTTAGATTTTTTTCATAATCTAGCTAAGCCGAAAATGAAAACAGACCGAAAAAAAGGTTAAGTGATTAATTACTATAATTAAATAAGAGAATTTGTTCTGATTTATAGAAAATTATGTTTTTTTTTTCTAAAATGTAAAAGTTACATCCAACTCTCACTGTGTTTCAGATTTAATATTGAACGGTTCGTAATTATAGTGAGAGTTTGCTGCAACTACTTTACGTGATAGAAAAAATACATGCAGACACAAAAAATTGAAACAGATATTTTGATCTGTTGACGTTTTTCGTTTATTTAGGGCTTGTGAGTAATAGCTTATTGGATAATAATTATTATATTGAACATGTATTGTGATAGCTGTAGACACCAATTTTTTTTTAAGAAGACGTAATCTTAGAAAACCAAAGCGTTGAGAAGAAGAAAAAAAAATAACTAAAAAATTGCCATCAACATATTTTCTTTTAGGGTGCACATATATTTTGCATTGTTGAAGTTTTTTAAACATATTGTTATAAATAAATCTTTAAAAGATATATTTTGTCAAATATTTACAACCTATGAAAATTATGTTATGTTTTAATTAGTTTATTTTTTGTTGAGGAAAAGGTGATTGAGATTTTTTTTCAAATACCGGGAAGTGATGGATTCATCACTTTTGTTGCGGGTTTATAATTGTTTAGGATTCTTAGAAGACGTGATTTAATGGGAAGAGTTGTTACTCATCGATGAAGGTGAAATTGTTTATTGAATAAAATATATTTGCTACACAAATTGGACGTTATAAGAGTGCAGTTAACTTGTAAAATAAAAATTTTAGGTGAATTTAATTTTTAAATAATACTTTTACCGAAGAAGATTGGTCCAGGTTTTCAGCGGAACTTCAAAGAGAACTGGTCCAGGAGTTTTTGATGGAATTGTTCTTCTGGGATTGATGATATTAAGAAGACGTAAGGTGGCTGGATGCGGCACAGCCGTTATTCAAATACATTCAGCTATGCCGACATCTTGCCTTCTCAGTCTCCTAAGAGTAGAACAAACACTGTAACACATTAGCACTGTCTTCACACACACTGGATAACGTAATATTTATATATTTATTAACGCATGTACAAGAAGAAGTGAAACGAGAATGAAGAGAAAAAAAAAGAATGAACGCGACTGCAATAAATTAAATATTATCGTAGATTATCTAAACAAATTTAACATATGTTGAACATATCTTGTTTAAGTCTTCTACTATTAAATGGTTTAAAAGTTCAAAATTTTGAGCTCTTTTTTTTCGTCTCGGATGTGAAGTGGTTGGTTCGATGTTCAAGGAAAGACTGGACACTAATCCTGCTGGACAGATCTTTTTGGTAACTCGACTTCCTCTCGTAGGCACGTGCTTTACCACCTCGGCTACTTGTTTTTTTCTCTACGTGCTTTCCTCGTTCCTATATAGCCCCCTCCAGACCAGACGTTCGCACGCATTGTGTCATCAAAATCCTCCCGATGTTTATCTAACATTGTAGTTCTCTTTCCTCTTTTACCCCGAAACAAAAAAAAATAAAGATAGAAACGTCATGAATAAGTTAATAACGCCTCTGGTGATCGGATGTATTTATGTTTCCGCACCGTCGTCCAATTGGAATTGGAAAGAAAGAAAGGGAAGAAAAATCAAAACCGTTTTTCTTTCTACCTCATATTTAAAGACGCGACGACAGAAATATTAACATGTACAATACATGATTGCTTTGCCGTTACTTATCGTTACAAGCATTTTGATTTCTTGTTTATATAATTGAACGTTTTGTAGTTATATATATATTTATTTACAATCAAGTAATTACAAATAGGAATTTTCAATCTGTTAAAGAGTTTATTAAGAGTTTAAATTAAATTAGACTAACGCTTATCATCCAGCCATTAGAAATTGTTATAATTTACATAATATTTATTGTAAATTTCCACATGATTGATTAATGAATAAAGTTTTTTTATTATTATTGTTACAGCATTTTTCAGCCACTCATAATACTGTGAAGTGAAATGGTTTTACTTGAATATAATGTGGACCATGTCTAATTGGTTGAGAAATTGATGTAAATCTCTTTGATGGTACATGAAATATAGTTGGAATTGCTTTAATTTTTTTTTGTCCTATCTATAAGCACACCATCATCCTTTCTGAGACTCAACCTGGTCCAAGTGTACAGAACCGCAGAGTCCCGGTTTGGAAAATTGATTATATTACCACCCTATGTTATATGTTACATTTAGTTCCTACTGAGCACGCGGCTGTAACTGGCGAAATTGTGCTCGGCACAAGCTAAATGAGAAAGGTGGTGGAAAGAAGATTTTAATTTTTGTTCTGTTCTATAGGTTTTGGCTCGTGCCTGATGTATGGTCAACAGTTCGGAATTACAATGTGTACTTTGAAATATGCAAAAAAAAAGAGTGTTAGTCGATATAGGACGAAACGAATGAATACCACTGACACAGATGCTAATGTATGCTGCGCTTCGATTATCGTCATTTGTTCAGGATACTTCTGGTTTCCATGGATATGGAAAAGCAAGTGCATTCGCAATGCGTTCTATTAATAACAATTATGGTTGTTACGGTACTGCTGCGTGGATCCTCCACGTGTCTGAAAAGTCAAGCGGCGGTGGCATAGGCGAAGAAGAGCCGAGCCAGTCAGCACTCCTTATATGCGGCTCCACCTGCATTAACACCTATCTAATTAGTAGTCTGCAGCCATTGTATCAGTCAACAGGACACACTCATATCTGAGCTATTGTTTTGCTACAATCTATGCCTCGCACATCTTCATTCGCTTCACTTGACGGAAGCGGCCGCTACGTGACCATCATCTTTTATGGTCAGGTATTTTATTCAAACAAATGTCGGCTCTTTGCATACAAATGCCGGTGCTTTCCTCCTCCGCCCGGTGGTCAGTTGCCCAACTCTGCTCGACACTCTGTTCTGCTACTACCATCGATTTCCCAGAACTATTAATACCCGAACTGTCCAATTCGGTAATCCTTGTTAATTCAACATTGACTCATTGTTTATGCACAATCCTTCGTTCAGTAATCACGAACGTCGCATCTGTTTGTATAGTGTTTAAACGAGAAGCACGAGATGAAAGAAAGATAGTTTCATTAAGTTTTACTTTTATTTTTGAAATCTGCCCACGAGATTTTATCGCTTCCATCTTCTCCTTTTTCCTCATCCAGTAATTTACTGTCCCTCCTTTTTCGTCTACTCTGAGGATTCTACCTGAAATTATGAATTATTAAACATCAGTTTTACCTTTCCTCTGCATATATGGTAAATGCAATTTCAACATTAAATGTAAAGAAAAATTAATTTCTTGTATCTAAAGAACAACTACAATGCAAAATGGTATTATTACAATATGTTTTCGCTCTAACGTGGTTTTATTATTTCAGTTGTTAAATCAGTTAACTATAGCTAGATATAAAACACATCTATCAAATAAATAAATCCTTCAACATATAAAAATGAAATATCCGCTGAAAGAAATAATATGATCGTACAAAACTTCAAAATAGTATTCTAAAATTTGCTAAATGCAGAAGAAAGTTCAGATGAAATTATTGAGAGACATAGTAAACATATCTTTCTTAGTTTTAAAATAAAATAGTAAGTTTTTTATCGTTTCATATAAACGACATTATTTTAAGAACTTAACGACGTGTTTGAAATAATATTTCTTTAAAAAAAAATGTGAACAGAGTTTAGCTTTAAAGAGATCATAAAAGCATGTAATAATAGTTGGTATTAGCGTGTCCGTGCGATACTTCTTATGAGAAAAGCAAAAGGGCAAACAACAGTATACATTACCCAACGTGTCCTCTCTTTTTTCTCCGTTGGACTCAAGGGGGGAAATACGGACAATTTATATATTTGTCGTTAATCATATGAATTACACATGTAAATACCGGACAAATGGATCTAAATATTTGGGGAAAACGTTAGGCGCTAGGGAATAAGGTCAAATATATTAATCCTCCGATGGATGCGTAACATCGGAAATGGTCTTCAAATACATTTCACACGAATTTAGTAACAACAGTGTCAATATTGTGTCCGGAGCGGAAAATGTTCTATTTTACACCTCGAATTCTCATCGCAGAACGTTTCCAATTCAATTCCGATCTCAAATTAGTGATAATTTTTTATGACAACATAGTTTAAACGCTCGTATTGCGAAACAGATCGTTCTCCACTCTGTTTTAAAAGCGGAATATTTTAGTATAGGAACGAATTTTCACCAACCACAGTCTCAAGAACGTTCTTCTCAATTATTACTTACTTAGTCTTCAAATAAAGGATTTATTCACATTGTTTTTTGGACATTTTTAATATTTTATTTGATATTTTGCATTTCATAAATTATATAGTATATCGATTTATACTGAGTTTAGTTTACAAATATATAAGATTTCGTTGTCTATATTGATCAAGTTATGGGTGCGTATTTTATTTGGTCTTTAAGTTCTTCTCTTGTATCATGAAAAAACATTGTGTGTATTTTGTATGTAATGTATTTATTTCTCTAAATAGTTTTTAGTGTTTCTGAAAATACGGTAATACATACATAACATAAAATAACATTACATAATTATTATTTATGTATGCATATCTAATTCAAATTGAATTCACCACAAGAAAAATCAGTCTTAAATGAATGTATTGGAAATGGTGTATCAGATATTTAAAAGAAAATCCAGCCCAGGAATTTGGAGTGTTTCAATTTTTATTGCCGCAAGAATGTAGGTAAGGAAAATAGAACGATTGCGATTGAATAATTTAGATTTCGTCAAATTGTTGCACGCGCCAAACCAATTACCGAACGCATTTATTGAATATTAATGAAAAATTCCTTACGCACTCGAATTTTCACTGGCAATTTATTATTTACATAAGAGAGGCCGCTGGAAATTTTCTATATCATTGAAATCCTTGTTTTCTTTTTCTTCATCGATTCTTAAAGTCTTTTTTTCTTCTTCTTAAAATTTAGTTCGTAGTAATTGATTATCAAGTTAACGCCAATAATTAATTGGTGACCTATATTTTCTGAAGCACTTTAGATAAAATCAAGTTACTACTTTTCTATTTCAGCTTTTGATTTATTTTTGCATTACGTCAACATTGAGAACAGAATTAAGTTGATTACATTAACGAATTGTATGTGGTAATTTTTAAATATAAATAAATAAACTTAATGTTGAGCAGATTTTCATCTTTTTAATGAGACAATTTTAATTAAATTTACAAATGTAATTATGTTGTATTATGTGTAAATTAAATCCAGTTTAAATAATAAGGTAAGACATTTATATTTACTTAATTATAACAAATATAAATATTTAATGAATCAAAATAAATGACATTACTAACAAATAGAATAGGAAGTTTAAACAACATAGTAATTAGTGTTTACTTAATTAAAATAATTTAGTTAAAGTAATATTAGATAATAAATTAAGTATCAAGTTATATAAACTGAATAGAATATAATTACAAAATTAAACTTCTGAAAAGGGCTATTGACCATAAGTCTTTCTAGGAAAATTATATTTATAAAAACCGTTTATGAATCAGAATGAATTATAAAATAAAGTCACTGCGAATAATTCCACTATACAATAAATAATTCAATTAATAAATATTATTTTATGAAATTAGCATCAGATGCATCTAACAGTTGCATTAGTTTCTATAAAATAACTTAAGTGAAGGAAGAACTAAAAATCGAACAAATCAATGATCAGTTAACGAACAATTCGGGTAGAAAACATCATTATGTTTGTTAACCGATCACGATACATTTGCAATTTACTTTCTAAATAATTTTACATTGTTTATATGTGAAATATATTAAATTTCTATTGGAAAGATACAAATGTTTGTGTTATTTCGTAAAATATGAGATCATTGAGTAATAAGTAATCAATTTCAACAATACACGCGGCAATTTAAAACGTTTTAACTAATATAGAAAATGGATTTTTACAACTTATTTTCTATTGCTCACACAGATCTATTGCACATACAAAATTTACAGAAATAGAAAAAACTCAGCTAGTAAGCTGCGTTTTATTGTCTATAGAGCATTAAATAATGAATCAAATTATTTGCACCCTCTAAATTAACATCTTGAAGATATGAATTGATTTTTGCAAAGCAAGCTATGATTTGTTTTTCTTCTTCGCCGCTTTTTCGTCATCTCAGTCATTTTGTATTTAATAATTTGGATACAATTTTGTTAATATTTGTTCAAAAACTTAATGAAACTAGTGAAAAAATTAAGCGTCTTTGTCTGTGGATTTTGTAAATTAACTAAAAACCTTATTTAACTAAAACTTTATAACTAATTCCAGTTTTAATTTAAATTCACGTAACAGACGACAATTATGTGTCAACATTTTTCTGTTTTTAATCAAATAATTAAAATAATTCATTAATTTTTATATTTTAAGTCTAGGCTCAAAAACATAATTTTAATAATTACAATAATTTCCTACAAAACCCGGGTTTTAAAAACCGACAAATCCTAATATATCATATATTGATGTAGAAAATATTGATTACTGAGGATGAACATATTTAATTTTAAAAAAATAATGTAAACTACACTATTTAAAAAAGTCCATAACGATAATTGAATCATTAGTTGTAAAAAGTATGAAATTAAATAAAGTTGATCCTTTTGATGCACCAAACTTAACTTAAAAACATATAGTATTTCATATTATTACTGACGATGATGTTTTTCAACTTTTTTTTTCTTATGACTTAAATATTTTTTAAATTGTGTTAAATCTTGTATTGAATTTCTTATTGTCTTGAATATTATTCTAAATATTTATATTTGTGTGGAATGAACTATTCCAGAATTTATATATTTTTTTATTAAAATATTCATGAAAAAACGCAAGCTTAAAATTCTCAAAAATCTAGCAACATTGACTGCAAGTTAGTGGTAAAGAAGACATGACTACTAATACCAATTACAAAAAGTTGCAAATTGATTTCTTGAGATGGGCCGCGCACGGTTTATGCGATGATGCCGGTAGAGAGGTAGTTACGACAGGATTATAGTTTTTTTTTGTTCAATTATCTTTCAGCGTTTTCAGCCATGTACTTTTGACTTACCCGATCTGGTAAATCTCTTACAAGCGATTGGGTTTCGAATGCGTAGGGCTGACATCCAGTTGGAACAGTCGCCGTTGCGTGGAGGCCAAAACGGGTCGAAGGTCGTTATTAGCTGCACGAATTCAGGACAAAGATGCATCCTTGAGCAACCCAATGAAAACTGCAGTTGCATCAAACAATCCGTGGATAATGCCGCAAAAGATAGCTTCTGGGAGATTGTCGCAACGTCGAGGGAAGTTGGAAATGTAAGTTCTCAGTGTTTACGATTTGTTTTGCTTGTAATTCAATTTTTAGAGTTTCTTGGAAACGGGCTGTGCCATTTTTCCATCTTTGTCGAAAGACAAATTGTGTTTTGTTCGTAACATTTTGGGTTACCTTTTGAAAGCCATGAATGAACCAGAGAGTGTTATCGAAGATTCAATGAAAACTCCAATTCGACGATCCATAGGAAAACGTGTTGGAACTCCAAAACAATACGATTCCCCATCCAGGTATCGATCTTTGGATACGCTTTTAGTAACAGACGAGGCATTGCCGAAACCAGGAATCCTCTTACCAAAAATGAACCTATCTGATTTGAGCCCCACAATTACGCAATCCAGTCCAGTAATTAATTATTAGAAATTACAATTAAATCAATTTACTGATTTATCTTTTCCTTAGAACATAAAACTTGATGTTTCTAACAACGAGCCGGATTTTAAGTGCGATTCAGTTCCAAGAGCAACGTATTTAGTAAATAAAGCGACGGATTTGCTGATGGAAGCCCGAGTGCTTATGAACAACAAGAGTGTTTCTGATTGTACCGAGAAGCATTCCACCATTCTCCATTCTGCAACTAAAAACTTTAAGGTAGATACGTTCGATTTCAAAAATCTTCAATTTCAAACACGCCCTTAGAAAATTGTTTCCTCTTTTTGAACTCAGGAAGCTTCGAACGTGACTAGAATCCTTATGTCTTCATTACAGAAATTGATATGTACTTCGAAACCGCCAAATTCTACCACCAACTTGATGGTTTCCATACCCAATTTATCGAAGAAGAAAACCTCCAGCACATCGTCCGTAAATTCGACTGACGGTGAGTTTAAGATTCCCACGAAGGTTCCAAACAAGGCTGTGAAAATCGTCAAGAGGCCCGACGTTCCGCACCCGGAAGCGGCTTCCAAGAGAATAAGTAAATATGCTCACGTCAAATCTACAATTCCCAAAATTGGCGATAAAAAGAAATGATCTTTTAAATTGTGCTAAAACCTCAATTAATATATCATGTATTATTATTAATGAAATGATTATAATCTACAATACTTGTTAAGTTTAAAATTTCTTTATAAATGGATCTTAATTTAATAAATCTAATTCATATTTACAAACATGTTTTATATAATATATTCAGTGGCGGCTGGTGACAATGGGACCAAAAACAACTATTTTTTATATTTATATAGTGGGTTCAATTATTGATTTATAGTTATTATTTCTATTACAATAATGTTTTGTTACAATCTACTGATCAGGGCCGGATCCACTTAGTGGAATTTTTGGGAGGCCCCTCAAATTAGACTACATATTTTAAATATTTATTTAAAACAAAATCCAATTATAAAAATCAAAAATTATGAACCATAAGGTAGACGAATTTCTACATATATAAAAGTGTCTGATAGTGTCTTTTCATTAACTTCAACATTTTTCCTGAAGCTATTATTTCACTGTCAATTGTATAACAAAGAATTGAATCGCTATTAAATCTTATAATAATAAAGTTGAAATCTTAATTGGGACAGTTTTGAATTGAGTTTAATGTAATTCAATATAACTAATTTTGGTGTTGAAAGTTCAAAAATATTTAAAAAAAAATGTTGAAGGTATTTTATTTTTGTATTTCGAAGATGACTTCGGAAGATACCAAACGGTTTGAGGAGCTGAAGATCGGCTTTATCGGTGGCCGTAATATGGCAAAGGTTTTAGCGGGAGGCATCATCAAGAAAGGTATAATGACGTTAAAAAAGTCAGAACCATTCTGGAAGCTCTTGGAATTTGTTACATGGTATTTGAAATCATGATTCTTATAATAATTATAAATCTTTGTTACCGAAGCAACGCTTGGATACTCCTCTCCTTTGTATGCTTTCTTATCGGTATTGGTGACATACCAATCCAAGATCTTGGCCAAGATACAGCATGAACGAAGGAGAAGAGAACTGTTAATTTACAGTGGATTCCGTGTTTGGACTCCAATTTTTTCCTTCTTGATGCCTTCATTTTCATCTTCTTCTAAAGGAAAGCCTTGCATTTACCTCAGTGGATATGCTGCATGGTTCAACCTTTAGGATTTCAAATAGTATACATTGAATATCCACGGTAGCCTCCACCTCTTCGTCCATCTTCAACCTTCTTGCCATAATTGATAGCCATCTCAATCAAGGGCTTGTATTGGGGCCAATTGACAGCAGCCATGATTAGCGATGGGTTGGTTTTGGCATCGGTAGGTTTGTTTGTCTTATATTTATAACAAATTCAAACAAGTTTATAAAATTTTCCAAATTTTGGAACTAACTGAATCCAAGTATCTATATGAGAATTAATAGGATCATCACTACGAAGAATACCGATATTTTTTTAATGTAATACCTTTTGTATTTAAGTTCAACATTTTCTAATGTGTTATATTCTAAGATTTAAAAGTTGCTAAATGATTTTTAGTATACAATAAGTGTATTATTCTTTTAAGTAAAATAAAGAATAAGGTTAAAAAAAAATATAGCAAATTTATCTTAACATTTTTTTTATTGAGAAATTGTATATAGTTTGGATACGAGTTTAGTATCATCAGACACGTGGATAATAAAAGATGTTGGATATGGAACTGAACAAATTGTTACTTAACCGGGTAGAATGCCCGGCATGTTTGGATTACATGGTTCTAAAAATTTACGTATGCAAGACTGGCAAGTATTGAACAATTTGAATGTTATACTATAATCTTTAAGACTGAGATAAACATGAATTTGTTTCTGATCCGATTCCAGGTCATAGCGTCTGTCAGAATTGTTACGGGTCGTTACGTGAATGTCCCGTCTGTCGGACGGAATTAACGAGGACAAGGAACTACGACTTGGAATCAATCGCGGAGCTTTTGAGTTATCCTTGCACGAACGAGGGATGTCCGGAGTTCATACCTGTTCCGAAAACTAAGAGTCATATGCTGAAATGCAAGTAATGATAATTTTCTAAATTCAACAATGAATTTATGTATATTTCTAGTAACTCTTCTTTTTAAGGTATCAACTAGTTAATTGCGTTTTGGGTAAGTGCGTATGGAAAGGCTTCAAAACAGATCTGAAGAATCACGCGTTAGCTGCTCACGAAAATTTAGCTTGGATGCAGGAGGAGAGTTTAGATCGTTGGAGGTTCGAGATAGACGAAAAGTCTGAGGTTCAGGTATTACCCTTATGTTTCAAAACTATATTAACAGTCTTATAATATCTTTATTTTTCAGTTGATCCGAGCTTTTGACGAAATATTTTATATTCATAGACATTATATTGGTAACAATGAACCGTGTAGGTCGATTATGTATTGGGTAGTTCAATATATAGGGAACCCTGAGATGGCTACGAAGTTTGGATACACAGTAAGTATTCCAAATCACTTGAGTTATAGCTTTCATAATATTAAATACACATATCGTGGCATTATACTAAAATATAAGACATTTATATTGGCGTTGTAGCAAATTTCTAAACATTTGGTAAACTATTAATATCTTAAAATGTATTTATTTATTCCAAATAATTAAAAATTGAACGACAGATGTCTTATTGCATAATTTTATTCAGAATAATGGTAAATTTAGTATTTTATCAAACTGCTGTTATATGAATTATTCAAATATGAATTGGATATATGGATTTTGTTTCAGATACGTATAGTTGGTGAGGATTGCAGCAATTTTCCAGAGATATCAATGAACCAGATTTGCGTCGATGATACAGTGACATTTATGGATTCATTAAATAATGGAAAATGCATAGGCGTTCCAGTGGCATTGATGAAGACCTTCAGAAACAAGTACAACAGCGTCTGGTTCAAAGTGAGCATCAAAGAGCTGAAATGATAAGCAGACTCGACGTCTTTTTTATTTTCTAATTTTAAAATTTGATGTAATTTCTATTGATCGTGTACATTTTAAACTGTGCCTTTTTATTTTTATTCAACCCCTAATTGACTCGCAAATAATCATACCAAACTGGCTTTGTATGTAAATTATTTGTAAGTTATATTTAATTTGAATTGTAAGCACCGACAGGTGACTGTATTTTACTGTATTAATTAATGATATATTACATAATAAAAGTAGGTACATAAATTGTAATAAAAAAATAGTGGTTAATTGAGTAGAAAGAAATTGGAGTGATAGTGAGTCTTTGTTATTCAATTTGGAAACACCAATTAAACAATAAATGGAGGACTTGTCATTTGCAGCGGCGTTGGGGTATTCTCTTCGCATTCTTTAAAAGGGCTTTCCGTTTCAACAGAATCCTGAGTAGTGTGCAGCGGTAGAAATGATTAAATTATTAAACAATAAAACGTGTTGAATATAGATCAAAAAATATAATTAGAATACATGTTTTAAAATTACAATTATTGGATTAATTATACAAATATAGGTAGGACCTGGCCCCTGGGGTCCCTATAGACGAGCCATTCCTGAATATATCTATTTTAATAAATATTCAAATAATAATGAATTGCAGAAATAAGTAATGAGTTTCAAATAAATTGGTCAATTAATCAGTAAAGCCATTTTATCATTAAGTCAATCGCGTAAACTTAATAAGCATAAAATTAAATTTAATTAAGTTTATTAATTCTATCTAAATATCCAACATTCATGGTTGATATAGGCAACTTTAGTTACATATTGTGAAGGAAACCTTTATTTTTATAATAAAAATCGTCTGTAATGCTATTTCAACTTGCAAATCCTTTTCACACTGGTTCTCGTCCAAGCGATCCGAAAGGGCAGGAATCTTGGGATAACCTATCAGTGAAACAAAACAAAAACAAACACCCCCAGTAAGTGACTGGCATATGAGTCTAGTGGACCGCCAACATGAGAATGCACCACCTGTGCTAGAGGGGGTGGCGTTGGTAGAACGTTAAGTTAACATTTTCAACATAAAAAATATAATAGGATAAAAGTAGTTTTAACTTCAAATATTAATATCATACTAAATGATACAAACTTTAACATAGTTTATGACATTGCAAACTAATTTCTTTTAATACTAATGCCAAAACCAATAACTAATGCATTACATTATTGACATATCAGAGTCTATTTATAATTAGATACATATTGACTATCGAATATGTATCTAAACAAATGCATTTATATAACTCGACATAATAATAAAACTTTCTATAATTATCATATGATTATTTGTTAATTCTTCTAAAATTCTCCAATAACTGCTTGTGTTTTTAGTGATTGCTAGTGATTAGTGTATATTTTTTTTTCTGCTTTGTTTCCAACTTATCCTGTTTAGTAACAAATACTGTATTGTTCTGATTTATCTTAATGTGATGTTATTTGTTTTTATTTTTACAATTTAATTTCAATAATTGATAAAAATGTCTTTTCAAAAAAAAAAATTAAATATATATTTATTTGTTTCTATTTATTACTTACATTTAAAACTAAGAGTTTCCTAATAATATGATTTTTAAATAAATTATGAAGTTTTATTTGAATTTACTATAAAATACTTGAAATAATAACCAAAACTTTAAATTAATGGAAAAATTGTATTAAGGTGACCAACTATTTGTGAATGTGAAATATATCCATTGATATCTACTAAATTTGTCAGTCTTTCGTCATTTAAAAACATATTTATCTCAATATCAAATTCATATCTTAATTGTAGAATATACCTCTTTCCATTCTAGTTTGAACTTTGAAAGAGTTCATTCCAAGCACTATATATTAGCGAAATTGGCTGAAAATGTTATTATTGGATTCATTCAAATGTGAGTTTTCTTTTAAAATTAAGAAAGTAGAATATCTAAATTCTAGATTATAATGCAAAGGAATACTTTTAGAGAATTCCACAAATGTATTTTATTTTGTATACGAATATAATACGGATCGAGGGTAAAAATGCTTTAAAGAATAGAGTATAAATTAATCAGATACTGAGATATTAATTGAATATAAAAAAACCCTAACATTTCATATAATAATTATATGTTAAAACTTTTCGAAAATTATTATTAGACTAATTAAATTCGAGATCATTGAAAATAAAAGACATAAACATCTATGGTCAATTGCCCTTTGTATCAGTTGATCTTTTATTTGTTTGATTATTATTGTTATTGAATAAAAATGTTTTTTTTTAAAGGAATTTAAAAAAAATCATTTAAATTATTTATATATTTATAATTTTACATTAAATTAATGATATAAAATATTGCTGTCAACTACGTAAAACTTATCAAGTATAGTCAAATAGGATTAGTAACTAGTATACTAGTTACATATATAATTTAAGTTGGTACACGCGGCACAATCCGCTTGTCAAATACACGAAAATGAGAAGTTAATTTCCATGTACAAATATGCAATCACAAATCAAAATAGATTTTTATTTTATTCAGATTTTAACGTTTGCTCAATAAATAGATTCGATTTAAATGCGGTTTTATTGTGTCGATAACAGTGTATGATTTTAGTAATTATGTGACCTTCCCGTAAATACGCAATAGGCGAATGCAATTTACAATCATTGGAAAAACATAACAAATCCATTTCGCTACACATGTTTCTCAATTCAATGGATTACGTATGCATTTGTTTTTTTATTTATATTATTAAACAGCATTTCATAAACAGCCTTGCATGTTCTTCATTATAAAAGGAAAATGCAAATAAATTAATAGAAGGAATATAAAGTGGTGGTTTAGGTCGAAAGAAGTAGAAAAAAAAAAGGAATGATGATCTTTGCGCTTCAAATTGTTCATTTTCTGGTAGAGTTCCTTGCGTGATAATAAACTACCGCATCGACCGTTCGAGAGGAACATAAAAAAATGATGCTTTCAAGACTACTTAAACTGTAATGATTTTTTACAACTTCGCCTTTAAACCTTTTTAAAGTTCATTATTTTTTAATGGTCTAATATTTAATGGTTTTAATACGTATATTGTTTATTTTTAGACATATATAATAAAAATATTTTCTTTCAATTATTTTAGTTGGCATAGAAATGTCCTTCAATTTGTTTCATGTAGATTGGAAACAACTAATAACGTCAAATTATTAGCAGTTTCGTGTAAAGTAAATCCATTTTTTTTAGGAAGTTTTCCTCGGAAAAGAACATAAAATACAAGATGTTTCAGTAGTTTTATGTAAATACGCAATATTACATTTTTCGTCTATCGAAAAAGCAATGATGTTTAATATTAGGGAACTGTCAAATATCAGGTACCTACATTTGTCTCGATGTTTAAAATAATAATTTTATATTAATATGAACATTTGTAAACCGAGTTTATTGAATCTTAATAAAGATTTGCTAATTAAGACAGTGTAATGAAATTTCAATAATTTTTATTACATTTGTTACCTATAAAGTATATCGAATAAAATTCGATCAAAAATAATCTAATTTGTTTGAAACTAAAATTTGTTTGAAAACCGAAATCAAATAAACGCTATACAAACCTGCGTTTTTTTGTTTTGTGTTCGGAAAAGAGATATTTTTTCATATGCGACGTTTCGCATAACGAGTGACGATAAGAAGAGCAGCCAATTATGGAACAGATTAAACTCGTTAAGCGAGATTCCACTGTATTATAATATTAAAAAAAGTATTTATACCTAGATTTAAACTGGGTTTTTGAACAAAAACGCTATTAAGAAAATGATGTTCGAAAACCGAGACTATTGAACTATTAATCTTGCATCGAATTAAACATCTTCAACATTGATCAGTTCAATAATTACTATTAACATGTGAAATAAACATGCAAACTTTCCCTTACAGATACCGTACAATGTTTCTGTAAGGGAAACGAAGCGTTCGAAAACCGAGATTCCACGATCAATAGCTTTTCCAAATAATTAAATATTTATAACTATCTGCTTACATTAAATTTATGTTTATTTTTATGAATGTTATCAACTATTTACGAATCCCTTATCATTGGCAAAACTGTTAACCTTTCGACGATCGAAACAGTTGTATTTCCTCATTGATCAGTTAAAATATGAGATAAATATTTACTGTTAACTTATATTCATGCATTGTGCAATTTCAACCCGAGATGTGCATGTGCTAGGTTACATTTTTCGCGTTGAAAAGTATTGAATTCTCGTAATTAATCTGCATGCGTGCCGTGGATCTCGGGTGAGTCATTTAATTAAATTCTGGTTCAAATTTACATGTTTCTAATGACTCACGGGTCATTTCCATTTTTAATATTTTGCCACAAAACTCCGCCCTTCATTACCGTGTTTGTAGGAGTAATTCAGAGCACACGGAAAGTGTCTTTTGGAAGCTACACGTGTGTTACGTACATTGTACGGAGTGAGCAAACTCGCATTCAAAATCAAAATCCTATACAGTGAACTGAAACTCATTAAAACCATTTACGCTCAACTTCCCATTATAGCAAAGCATACCACTAGGTGAATGCATATGCCATCCGTTTGTAACAGCCAGGTTTTATGTGATACATGTGTTCATATGACAAAATTAATGCACATACAAAATATGCAACATTCCAACACAATTCGATCAAATACAGACATTTTTTTTATGTTTTTAATACAGCTTAGAAACAAAATACATATTTCAAACAAATAATGTCGATTTTTTTCTATTTTAATACACCTTAGAATAAAAATATCAAATAATTTGAAAATTTAATAGGTTTATTTTTTTTGAAACAAAATAATTTATAGACCAATTAACATGTTTCTTTTAACAGTTTGGTTACAGATTTGAAACAATAATTTGAAGATTAATAAAGTTTTTTTGTAAAAACATATTCTCTCATATGACGAAATTAATACACATGAAAAATATGCAACATTCCAACGTGCAAAAATGTTTTTTTCCGACAAATTGATAACTTTATTTCCACATTGCTGACATTTTATGTTCAGTATAAATATGTATGACCGTGAGCGTATTTTATATTGCAACTCGGTTTAATGAATTTCAATCTGCTGTTAATCATTTTGTATGAATGAATAAACTTTGTTTTATTAATTCTTGATTTCTATTGAAAATAAATTTTCTAATTATCAGAATAAATTACATACATCTATTAATAAAATCATGTTAATTAATTAGATTTTCGGAAAATTAATAACTTTATTCTCACATTTATGATATTTTATGTAAAATATACAATATTATACAGTAAACTCAGTAAAATTAAATTGAATAAATTAATTATTGACATTTTTCATGAATGAATTAACTTTGTGTTATTTATTCTCGAGTTTTCATTGAACGTAATTCACAATAATTAATTAATTATGTTATCTAATTAGTAATTGAGAAAACATGTTTCTAAAATTAGTAATTTAATAATATAACAAATTTTGTCCATTAGTTTTTGTAGTGTTTGAAATGACAAACAAAGTATTTAGTTACTAAAATAATAATTTGAAGATTAAAGAGTCGTATCTCTTTAAACCTTTGAAATGAAATTATAAATTAATTATAAATAAACATTTCAAATCAATTTAAAAAGAAAATAATTGTAAAGATGATTTTTCAAGCTTAAGGTTAAAAACTAATAGATAATTCTTTAAACTTTTTAAAGCAACTTAGAAATACAATAATTCGAAGACTAATAAAAAAATGTTATTTTGTTTTAATTAAATCCATAGAACTTATAATAAATCTTGCTTCATTATTTAGTTCATTATAAAAATCGACAATATAAAAATCAAGAAGAATCGACTTAATAAACAAGACATATTTAATTAAATTATCAATTTCAAATAAACACAAAGGAATTCATAATATTGTTAGAAATCTTTTCTGTGAATTAATCCTTTTCGCCCTCATCATTTGTCGACCTAGTCACGATTCCACGCCTGTTCGAATCCTGGTCAAGCCAGATACCTTGTGAGCCCTTTCGTACTTGCAGCAATAAGGTCATCGCTCATCATGAATGGACAGTTAAATGAAAGAGGTTCAGCATATAAACCTTCAGCCAAGTCAATGTACAATGTCAGTGTTAAAGATTGTAGGAATAAGATTGTAAATTAAATATACTATGACATAATTTTAAAAAAATATTTGCAATTTCATTAATTCGATCAAACTTAGTGAATATAATTTTATGAACTTTTGTAAGAAAACTGAAAAATTATTTTTTTTTGTTTAGAAAAAAAAAATAGATACAATTATTTAATAATTTTCAATTTGTGTTTCATCAATCTCATTTTTGCTTTATATTGATTTATGTATATATTTGTAATCAATCATCTTCGTACAAATTGTTTTATAAATACGGTCAGCTTACTTGTATATTTATGACATAAACGTCAATGCCATTGATTTAACGATGTGAATAAATGAAATATGCGTATCTCTACAGAATTTATTTTCGATCTACTGTTATATATTTTTATTAAAGTATATTTATGTATACTGTTAAGTTATTTATACAAAGCTATAAGCTTACCACTGCAAAACATTTTGCTGACAGATCGATGTTGCTTACATGTGATTGTAACATAAACCTCTTTGGTATGCGCACCCTCTTGACATGTAACGTATATATACAATTTATAGATATATAAAAAAAACTAATTCAAAAAAGTAAATAAATATACAAGTAAAACATTGAAATATATTCTGAATGTAAATGAAATAATATAAAAAAAATATATAATATACTAAGTAACAGAGATTTTCTCGAACTTGTATATATACACATTCACCTGATATGAATACAAATGAAATCTGTGGCAACGTTTCCGTCCTATTTCGATCGATAACAAAAGTTATAAAAACTTTGAAACAATGATTAAATATCAAGAAAAAAGTCGTTTTCTTATATTTATACATTTTAATTTATAATTATGAACGGTTTATAAATGAAAATTATTATTTTAATTTAATTTTTGTAATATCTAATTTTCGCATAATCAATCGATTCTATAATATATAAAACAAACTTGAAGTTATATAAACCATTTTTTAAATTTCACTTATAGAAACATAATTACATAATGGAAATTTATACATGGAGTTTAGGGTTTTTATTAATAATATTTTTTTATTTATTAGAAGTAATTATATAAGTATTAGGCACTTTTGGTCTACAATTATTTATGTAATTTTATGGTTTTGCATTGGCATGATGCCACTTATTGAAAATATATTCTTTGCATTTTCTAAGCTTTTACACAAAAAACTTGTTGTTTAATAGAGGAAATTATATACAGTTTATGATATTCTTTTAAATTCAAAGCATAGTATGAACTGGTAATTTGATACTCGACAATTTGCTCGTCGCATCACGCGCTAAAATATATTTCTAGCAGATTGTATTTCTGTAAAATTGCATGGAATAACAATAACATGGAATATATCTATTTTACCTTTTTTATTTTATTAAAATGTTCAAATATATAATCAAGTTATGTTAAACTTTAACATATTGTTCATTACAAATATTTTAGTAAACATTATTTTAAAATTTTATAGTGAAATGTTAAATTTAAATTGAAAATGGTTTATTCAATTTAAATTTAAAAAATGTCTATTATATCTGTTATACATTATTAGGTCATTACGTATAAAATGTCCCATCCCCCGATTAAATTTTGTAAATCATGGTTATAATCCTTTATTAAGAAACTTGTTTTGGATAGTTCTTTTTATGAATTTTGATATTAAAATATAATTTATTGCATATGTACACCTACATACATATAAGGTGTTATTGACTGCAATTTTTACGCCCTTGATATTTTATTTTCTATATTGGAAAATAAGTTAAATATGAACATGAATTATTTTCTTACTAGACACTTCGCCCGTGGCATTTCGCGATGTAAATATATTTGTCACAGCTTGTATTTCCGTCAAAATATAGTGAATTGGGTGGAAACTCTGCGACCAAAAGCTCTTTGCATATAAATATTTTATACGTGCAAAAGACAGTTTACTGTACTTTGCACTGAATACTATTATTATTACATTTTTATAAGAATAAAAAAAACAGGAATTCACATAAATATAAATTATAAAAATACCCCTGACGACCTTAATGATTTTGCCCGGGTAACATTTTTAGAATGTTTATTCGAACAAAACATTATGTCAAAAATCAAAACAAATTATATTATATTCAATGATCCTTTTCAGTGAAAATATTCTGAAAAATGAACAAAAAGCCTTATAGCCTTTTGCAACAATTAATCTTCCTTGTTTTATTATTGTTATGAATGAACATGTTTTTATTATTAGTGTTACAATAAAGATTATTTTCATTATTTATTCCGAAAAAACAATCTATTTTCCTTTAAAGTTCAATAAATTAAATGAAGTATTAAAATGTAACAGAAACAATACGTAACTCAAAAATGTTTACTTCAGCTTGTATTTTTGTAAAATTGTAGAGAATAACTTTCAAAGTTATATTTAAAAAAATATAATGTAGTTTTGTGTATTAAGTATATTTGTATTTAATAATATTTTAATAAAATTGATTTTTATAGTGTTTTAATATTTCTATTTATTTTATTAACTTAAATGTCTATTTCTAAATTGGAAAAAAGTAAAGTATGTAATAATTTTATGGTATAATAAATTTGTCTTTGTCATAAAATATTTCTAACAAAACTATTAATTTCCTGTTGAATCAACTATTTTAATTAATTAAATCATTAAAGTATACCTGAAATATTCGTTATTTAAAAATATTTATATTGTGAAATTGTAGGGGATTTTTATTTTCATAGTACACTTATTGTAATATAAAGTAGTCTTGTGTTAAGAAAACATATTAGAAATCATCGTTTTCTAACCTTTTTTCTTACTATTTTCGTACAAATAATGTTAAAATGATAAGAAGTTAAAAAAAATAGATTTGAGCATGTTGTTTATTGAAATCTACAGTTGCACAAACTATTTGAATTAATTGGAATGTTAAATTATATAAGAAACCAGTCGTATGTTTTATGTATTATAAGATTGAAAGAAATCTTGATATAAAAATGTGTATGGTAAAGCGGTATTAATCCGTAAGAACTAATATTAATCATTTTAATCACGATCCGTTGCAGTAATCACGTGACTGTTGCGCCCACGCATTGTGTAACAGGCGTAACGCGCGGAAAACGGAGCGCCGTTCCTGGAATAATGCCGTAACACCACGCACTTTCCAGAATTTCAGACTTCTTAACATCATCAACCGGGTCGACTGACTGTTACGCATAAACTGAAAAACATCGATACAAAACTGCGAAAGTATTTTGCATTGAAAGTTGTTAAATTTTTCGTCCCAGTGATCGGGAAACGCAGAGGAAAGCTGCGAATTTTCGTAGTCGAACGTGGAGCGGCGTCGTATGAATCGATATTGCGGGCGTCGAACGTCAGTCGGCCGACGCGAGGCGTCCTTACCGCACATACGTACAACCCACACGAACGCACATTCTCTCGTAACCTGAAAGTGTTACTCTTTCTACTGTTTATTCCTATCAATTTTTCATCACAGAAACAGGTGTCTGATACACTTGACTGCTTCCGTTAACCACTTTCCATATACCATGGTGCCTGTACCTGTGTCCACCGGAATAAACCAGTGACATACCTAATAACATGTGCACACTTATTGCCCTGAACGTGATCTTCAGTGGAGGCTAATTTCCAGTCTTTGACACCGCTTCAAAAGGGACCCCAGTCTTCCTCATTATGATTCCGTCTAAATACTGTGATCAACCCGGAACCTCCAGTAAGTTTCCACTCACAACTTTTCTCACATCATTTCCATTTTCAATTTAGAGACCTTGATTACAATTGCATTACTCACTCATTCAAAACTTATCCAATTAAAAGTAACAGAACCTCTCATATAACAACAATAAGAATATTAACTTTCTTTATTGCAACAATAAAATTACACTAATAATAAGTATGAATTTATACATTAATCGTTAACCGTCGGACTTCCCTCCTCTAATAACAATAATAATCTTAATGTCATAATTAACAAAATCTGCAATATTCCAGAATTACCTAAAGCCGTAAGCTCTCTGGATAATTGCTACCAAATTCATGCAGAATGATATTCGCTCTGGCGATAAGCCAAATCGAATTTGGGTCGTAATTGTTGAACCGTGTGCGTTTCTACCCTTTTTTTTAATTAACGCATTAAGATAGAACATCGGAATTGTTGCATGCAGCAACCACATCGCTGTAATACAATTTCGTTTTATAAATAACAGAAGCTTTTTCCATACCAGATATTAAGCTTTTGCTATTATCTTACTGCTATTTACGTTTATTGAAATATACATTAAAAATAACTAGTATAATAAAACGATCAATAACAGTCATTTTTATTCGACCCGTTTTTAGTTTCAAACTATGAAAATATTATAATGCTATAGCATGATTTCTAGACATTCATGCGATTACTAATTTTAGTATCAATTTTTATTAACACGATAAAAAAAATATATTCGTATCTATAATTATATGGAGAATTGTGGATTTAAAACTTGTTATTTTAGTAAATTGTTTTCATTTAAATAAAATACAAATCTATTTGTTTCGTGGTTATAAAGGTTTTGTAATTAATTGAGAAACAGTCACGAAATCACGAAGGTATATGTTAAGACTTGTTACTCTAGTAAATTGTCTCTATTCTAATAGATAACTATTGTATTTGATAAAGGTTTTACAACTAATTGACAATCAATCACGAAATGTATTGCGTATGAATATGTACTCTAATAAATTGTCTCCATTCTAATAAATTAAATTAGATTTGTTAAAAAAGAATCCATAAACTAGAAATATCGTTGCTTGAATGAATGAATCTATTACTGTTACATCAATATGGAAATAAATACATTAAAATTTAGTTTGTTCTAAAAATACTAATATGCACGTTATTGCTTTATATGAAGTTTTTGCTAAGTATGAATTCATTTCAGATTTGGCAATACATATTTGTTTTTACTAAGTAAAGCATTTTTATTTAAAATTCAATTTAGAAAGTTTTTTCACGTAATAATTATGTTCTCTTTTAAATGATAATATTTTTCTTGAATGACTTGGTGATTACAAAGATCACAAACGATTTAATTTAGAATGGTATTCAATCTTAAAGTCGAATAAGATTTTTATCACTAATTTAAAAGGATCAAGAATCCTTGCAAAGATTACCGAAAATAATCTAAGCGAAGTTTATCAGATAGCCAAAGAAAAGAGAAAATAATGTATTAGATTCGATCTTAAGAAATAACGATGTTTTTTATGATTCAAAGCTTTTTAAATATATAAAAAGTATGTGATGCGATTCATAAGTATATTATTATTTTTTTAATTAAATTTGTTATTTACAATCTGGCAATGTAAACAGTTTTAACAGTGAAAAAAAGCAATAAGCTTTGAATCTTTTCCCATTGAAAATCTTCCAAGATAATAATAGAAAATGATTATAAAATGTAATCTATTATGGATTTAATTGAGAGATCAAGGGTGCTATGCCTTTTTAGTTTGTGGGTAATTTCACTATTATCTAATAAATGTATGGTTTTCTCCATGTGCGTTGATGATTTTTCTTTATAAAATAATGTATTTCTTTGGAATTAAGTTGATGCACTTTGTATTGGGTTCCATTTGTATGTGTATAAAACAATACAAAGTACAATAACAACTATAATATATGCAAAACAAAAAATATTCGTTTTATGTTTTCATTTATCCTGGATTATTTCCGAAGTTAATTGCGTCTTGTTTTTTATTCCTTGTTTTTCGTGGAACGTGTTTACTTCATAATTCGTTGTTGATGAAACAACCCACCTGGGATTTTATAAAATATTATATCTTTTTATATTACATTTTTCAATTTCTCGTCGGATCATGTATGTTTAGTTATATAATCAATAATTTTCTTAAAACGTTTCTATGTGATATTAATTCTATTTACTTTATTTAAAATAAAAATTATAATTAACGCTTTCCAGCCCATTTTTTTTGTATTATTCAAATCTTTATCTTTAATAATAGAAAAATGTTGAATAATTTCATTATTCAATATTTCCTACTGTTAAAAATACATCTAGTCGAAAGAAAAATCACTGGGCTGGTAAGTGTTAAGCAAATTAAAAGTTGATGATTTGAATTGTAATTAATATCAAATATGTTATATATTTTAATAAACATGATATGATAAAGTAAATATTGCTTGTGTCTAGTAAAATTTATAAAGGCTTCTTATTTATGAGATGGAATTAAACCAAACTGACTGAAATAAAGTTTATGCGTTATACTCTCCAGAAAATGTACGCGTCTATTGAAAACTTTACCTAATTAAAAACAATTTCAGTTAATTTTCTTCCTTCCTTCAGTTAAATAAATCATCAACGTTTTATCTAGTCGTCTAATATTTCTTTACATTGAATTAAATATGTTTTTTTTATAATTGACAATCAATTTTATTTACTGCTCATTGTTCTTTAATTAATATATAAAATAATATCATACATATCATAAAAATACTTATGACTGCAATATATTCAATACTTTTTATTATAGACTTTTAACATACAAATTTTATTAACAAAATGCTCAATCCAACTTTATCAGTGGTGGCTAATCTTTTGGAATTGGTGTGTTAAAATTTGGAAAACGTAGCTTATCTCGGTTACCCTATCACTTGGATACATAGATGATGGGGGAGGGATGACTTCCAAGACTTTTTCGTATGTGATGAACATAAATTATTTTGTTTGACCAAAATGTCTTGCCGTGTCACCTCTGAGTCATAGGTTCGCCATCTCTGAACTATAAGCATCGTATTCACAAATACATAATTGAAATGTAATCGCGGGCCATGCATCATTGCTTTGATGGCCGGATTCGGCCCGCGAGCCACCAGTTTGATTCCAGTTTTTAAGCATATTTATCAATGAGATCCGAGCGCTGCCAAGTTAACGCGACCAAGCTTGCGTTTTGTAGTAAACCAGCAGCGGTGGGTTTACACAAATTAGTGATTTAAATGCACATTTACGTTAAATTTGCGAAGTAACGCGTGGTGTACATGATTTATTCGTGTAACTCATTAAATACTTATTAGTTGATTAGTTACTAATGAAGCAATCAAATTAGATCCAATGCGAAAAGACATCATAACTTGTAGAAGTTGTCATTTAAAACTTACAATGTACACTTAATAATTATGAATGTTAGTATTTCAATTAAATAATCTTGTTATAATATAATTGAATATTTTCCAATAAATTATTTTTAAAATAAAATTTGTATATTCGATTTCCTTACATAATTAATATTGAATAATCATTATATTTATTCTTGTTTATCATATATAAAAACGTTGAATCCAAATCGCGAGAGCAACCCTCTAGTAGTTAATTAGCATATTCTGCAAATTTCATACTTCCTTAAGCTATTCATTATATACAGCCATAAATCCATATTAACTATTCATTATTCTAACATTACCATTATCGATACAACAAACATCACCAACATATTCAAACATTTCTATTTTCCTATGTATATAAATCACAATTTAAACGGAGAAATATCAAGTGTGCGACGAAACATACACACATGATGTCGTTCATACCGAGAGATTAGTAAATGACACAGCGCAAACATTCGCATCGACCATCTATTTATGACCGCATAAATAGAACTCAATCAAGAGCGAGCAGACATAACACATCTGAGTAGTGGATATGGTTAGTATTAAACTATGATTGATAGTATCAAATGCTAGATTAACAACAGTTGTGTCTTTCATTTTAATGCTGACCCAGTTTACACATAACTAATATAATATAAGAATATAGATTAATCATCAACGTATATTTATATTGATAACATAATAAAATTATTTATTTTATAGGTTTTCTATGTATGTATGTATGAATATACGCAAAAATTGTGTTTAATATCTAACAAGCAACATTCTTTAAAAAGTTAATTTTATAATTAGTACTTAATTATGTACAAATTACTTTATTACAAATTAAAGATATTTTTTTACATTTCATTGTTTGCCAATAAAATAAAATAAATTTATTATTATTCAATAAAAACATTATTAATACATGTTTTTATTAAATAATAAATTTACGAAACACATAAATTTCTCATTTCATAAATATATTTAATTTCTAAAATATTGAATAAATTTATAGTAGCGTTAGGGACACTATAGTTGTTTTTGTCATTAGATCTAATGTATTTATATCAATTTATTTCAATTCATAACTTTCGATAGTATGGAATTACTAGACGATCTAATAGAATGGAGACATTTTTTTTTGCAACAATTCTGAATAACTTTTCAGTATGTGAATACATAATAGAAATGAATATACAAAGGAAACACTTGTTGTCAGTGACCAGTGTAAATGGAAAACTGTTATATAAACAGTAGTTTATGGCAATATTTTACTAAATAAAACCACTGTTTCAATAGAAGTGTAATGAAAACCATAGATGGCGTGCGTACGTCAGTTGAAGTTTGACAAGTTATAATAGTTAATCAATGTTTGTTCCATATAGAAATTTGGTATTATCTAATAGAATGTAGACATTTTTTTGTATAAATTCACAATAACTTTACAATGCGTGAATGTATAATAGAAACATATATACAATATAAACTCTTGTTGTCCATCGCAACTATAAACATAAATTTGGTATATATTCAATTGTTTCTCATAATATATTACTGTATAAAACCACTGTCAATGAAAACGACAGATGGCGTGCCTTATTTGACGTTTGACAAATTGTAATGGATTGTAATAGTTAAGCAATCTTAGTAACATAAAGCAGTTGGCTGGAGTTAACTGATACAAAAAATGAAACTAACAAGATTTACATAATACAGAAAAGGTATTTTCTTTGTGACTTGGAAAGAAAACTTCCTAAATATAATTAATATAGTAACATTGTAACGTGAACAATTGTGCAGTTGATTTTTAATATTAACTAGAATATTGCTAATAATATTACCTTAATCCTTATGTGGTTGAAAGTCAGTTAGGAGGTTAGGTATTACAGTGTATGTCAGCGGTAAAATTATACATTTTGATAGATTCTGAAAACTATATTGAACGAGTTTACTTTTCTTTATCATGCCAAAGACACTTTCGGTAAAGTGAATAGAATTATATAAATACGTCGTCTGTCCTTGAAAAAATATAATCTAAGTTGTGTAGGTTTTCATTCATTTTATTAAATTTAAAACTTATTAAGTAAAAGCTTATATAAATAAATATTCGTGAAATCAAGCATAAGATTTTTATATAATCATATTCCACTCGTCATTATATAGAATATCTGGTCATTGTATATAACGCTGACATACATAGAGAATCAAATAGATAATAGATATGTGTACATATATGATGTAGCACATAAGATCAATATTAACATACGTTCGAATCGATCATCTAATTGTATTGGTGCATAATAGGAAGTAATTGAAGATAATGCAACAGCAAATGAAGCGCTGACGTCCAATCAAATTTTTTGTTAGATGTGATATTTAGAGACACGCCGCCAGCCGGTAGTGCCGGTAGTTACAATCGTCGACTCATACCTATTTTTAATAGTTAGCAATAAAAGTTATTACTTGGCCGGTATATCTCATGTTTTTTTCTTGATAGGAAATTGGTAATACAGTATGTTTTTCTCTTGCGTTTATTTCAGGGCGGGCACTTGAAACATGCGAATTAAGGCATATGACCCATTCACCTTCGATGGGCGGTCGCCATTTGAGCAAATCCGCATCCGAACTAAGCAGCCCACGGGAGATGCCTGAAATTCGACCTCGGTCTGCAGCACCGCCCGGCACTCTGCATACCTCTGTCTACCAAAAGGCACACACTTTCTTCTCGCAGTTAAAAGTAAGTAATAACTTTATTAATATACGAATTAACGACCTTACGAAATATATGCGAACGACGAAGAGGAATTACCATAGTTATTGTTTGGGGAATAAACACAACTTCAATTATTACCCTACTACTTCCATATAATTTTCATTCAAACTAGTAGCGGTATAACCTCAATATTACATAATTTACATTGAATAATAGCAAAGCAATTCAAATTTATTTGAAAAATATACAATTAGACAATTTAGGCTCAATTTGAACAAAATCTATCGATCTAAGTTATTCTGTCCTTTTTAAATAAATTTGAAGTTTCGTTACCATTTGTAACCTAAGAATAATTAATATGATTTAAGTATAAAATTTTATTGCAATATACTGTTACATAATCTATGTATCTAAATGAACAGTGTTTAATATGTCATTGAAAAATTCAATTAATATTTTTTTTGATAAGTATAGGCCCGGCTAGCTCAGTCGGTAGAGCATGAGACTCTTAATCTCAGGGTCGTGGGTTCGAGCCCCACGTTGGGCGACAATACTTTTAAACATCTGTTTCATATCATTTCGTATGCAGCAAACAATAAAAATATTATACAAACTATTTATTTTCAAGCATTTTCTTCAGTTTATATCAACAAAAGCGGCTTTCATCTCGAGTGGCGCCTTTTTAAACCCATTAAAATATATGAAAATAAATATCTTGCTTGGCATTGAAACTTGATAACTACTCTAGAATCATCGATCACTCACTATGCATATTATATAATCTAAACACCATCCATAATGTTCGATTTTTTTTCACTCTTTTACTATTTAATACTTAGAAAATTGATAATTGACGAATGCCATACATCAGTCACAACAATGAAAGCATATTGAAAATATTATTTTCTATTTGGAACAAAACTTTACATATCTTATAACAATTAATTGTGTGGTGGTCAGACTTTTTGTAGCAAGGCCATAGTTATCTACCTGAAAATATTAGGAGCCGCATCTAAAGTTTTTAGTATAAAAAGTTAAAAAAAAATCTAAATCATAATGAGCCGCAACTTTACACTTAAAGGACATGCGCATGCGTCTAGCGATCAACAATTTGGGCACTTCTGTTATAAAATAGGAAAATTGTAGTTTTTGTTGATATCTGTCTATAGTATAGACTCTATACAAATGAGATGATTTTAACATTTTAAGTATATTTGATAACATTACCATCTTAGGGAGGTTAATTTTGTTATAACAAGAAAATATAAATAAAAGGTGTAAAGTGATGAGGATAAAGTCTTATATATATACAACGTTGTTGACTTTGAAAAGAAGAAAACCATTTATATCTGTCAAGTTGGGTTAATCATTAACCGTTATGTATTTTAGAATGTATCGTGTTGGGATTAACTGATAGATATATGGTAGAAATTGTGAAACTATTTGCATTTGGCATGTGCATGTGATAAGTTTATCTTTAAGGGTCAAGGGTGTGTTGTGAACTGAACATCTGTAATTGCTGAATATCATTAAAAGATTGCATCGGCCGGGAATCGAACCCGGGCCGCCCGCGTGGCAGGCGAGCATTCTACCACTGAACCACCGATGCTTATATAATTCGCATTTGGACTACAACTGTCAAAACTGACATTAGGAATAATTATATAATCAGTTGTCATTAAAAGAAATGCATCGGCCGGGAATCGAACCCGGGCCGCCCGCGTGGCAGGCGAGCATTCTACCACTGAACCACCGATGCTTATAGAATATTTTCCAAGGTTATAACTGTCAAAACTGTCATTTGGTCGGTTATTCAATTGTTATTAAAACAAATTGTATATTGATACTCGAGGCAGTTAACATAATTTTTAATATTTAACCATTGTATCCGACGATTGTCATTGATCTACCGATGTTTGAAAGCAATTCTGAATTTTAATGACATACATCAAAAATCAAAGCTCTATTATGCATAAAATGTTAGGTAAATTGTTTTAGACATAGTCTACATGTAGAGTTTCCATACATCTATACATGTGGACATGTGGATTTTGCTACTATTTGTCCCGTTTTCTCGGATATGATTAAGAAAGTATGAGTGGGCTAAAAAGGATTAGTCTTGCACCTTTTTTTTATTATTATGTGTTCATTTTATTAGATTGCTTAAAATATATTGATTTTTTATCTAAGTAAAATAAACCATTACATACTAACTTTTTTCTAAATGGGAATGTGTCGATTCTTTAGTGGCTTTTTAAGAAAGAAAACATTATTTTCAATAATTTAAAACACATAATGACTAATTGGAATAAATGTAAAATCTCGCATGTTTGATATGAAATGATACAAGCATATATGGTATGTTGTACCATATAATATTATGAATTATGTCGTTTAATGTGTCTTTGATTTATTATTAAAATTAGGATTAACAACTTTGAGTCCATGCTGAAATATAAAGAAATGCATTGATAATTTTATAACAACCATGATAAAACAAAATTATTCTGACTTTATGTCCATGAATTAAAGTTTTAGTGAGCACGAATAATTTTCTTGAAAACCTGAAGTTTTCTGTTCAAAATGACATTACTGACAACTTTAAATCAAAAAGAAAAGTGTCTGTCCTAATTAATATGTACTAATTAGAAATCAATATTTTATAATCTTCAAGCTTTGTTTACATTTCACTCCTCTCAGTTACGGTGATCATGTATATGTGCTCCGATTTAACTTCAATATTTGTATCATTGATGTATTTTTTTTTATCATTTTTTTATTTATTTATAATTTATTAAATGATATGATTCGACTGATGGGAATATCGGGATATGACTTGAATTATTCACTAGATTTCATTTTTCTTTCATTACTTTACATACAAAAATGCTGAAAAAACATTTTCGAGACACAAGGACATCTAACCAAAAATAGGGACAAATACCGAAACATTGGGACGTTTAGTCACCCTATACATGTGACAACTGTAAACTTTTAATGACAAGAGTGGGTTCATCATTATAAGGTGACAGGTTCAATATATTAAATTGATTGTTAATTATTACTCGTATGTTACTTTTTTATGAAGTTATGTATTTCTAATAATGTGCTATAATAATTTATATAAATAGTACTGTTTTATATAAAGTTAAGTCTATCGATTATGTAGCTTAGAGTGCGTAAATAATTGTTAAATAATCAAGAGCCTCCGTGGCGCAATTGGTTAGCGCGTTCGGCTGTTAACCGAAAGGTTGGTGGTTCGAGTCCACCCGGGGGCGTATATTTTTTTTATTGTCAGTATTACGGAATAGATAGAAGTGTGTATGTAACTATAGATATATATATGCATAAACATATATGTGTGTCCATATAGGTTTATTCATATTTTACAAGTTCTTTGTAAACATACTGGAATCGAGCAGTATGGAATTGGCGAGCGTCTAGGCATGCGCCTGACAGATAAAATGAATACATTTAATAGAACGTTTCGACGCTTCCAGAGTCGTTGGGGGCACAGCAAAAGGGAAAGACGACACAAATCGCCAGGACGCCAGGATTCGACAACAGATTACGCGGCAGACCTCAGCAGTGATCATAGCACACCTAGCACACAAAGTCCTAGGCACAGACTACATACTCATCACGGTAAGTCCAGATTAGGATAAGGTTCTGCTATAACTACGAACTTTATAGAAGGTCGTTTTTGCTTTCTTACTATTTGTTTTCTAACTTTTAAAAGAATATCGTCTTAAGAATTTTTATATCCTTATCAGATAAGTAATAATTTTTATTTAAATTTCGCAAATTGTTTTAAATTTTGTGCTTTTTTATTAAATGAATAATTAATGTTTGAAAATAAAGTTTATGAAATTAAAAAATTGTATTCATTTTCAATTATTTCTATATTAATATTATAAAACCTTCGATAGCTCAGTTGGTAGAGCGGTGGACTGTAGATATTAATCATAGCATCTCGCTGAAATCCATAGGTCACTGGTTCAAATCCGGTTCGAAGGAAAATAACTTTTTTTATAGTTTTATCCTAGTTGAATGTGCACTTTGTAGTTGGTATTGATTGATGTAATGCAATAATTCTGTAATGCATTTGCAGACTCTCCATTAAGCCGTGCGTGCGGTGACACCCCTCACAGCTCACCAGGAGGTTCACCCAGACCAAGAGCCCCAACACCCGGCGCCGTGGCCGGCCTTGACCTCATTCCGGTAAGTACATCCCTTCGCATCCACTATCTCATCAATCGTACGTTACAAAGAAAACATTGAACCATACCATCTGTTCCTCTCTAAATTGAAGCTTAATTCATTCTTGATTACGTCTTAATTTGTAATTATTAAAATAACGATTTGTGGCCCAAAAATATAAGTTTTCTAAGTAAAGGAATGCGAACTTCTACGATACGGTTATGATGAAAAAAGTTTTGTAAGAAACAATATATTCACGTTCATAACACAAATTGATATATTTCATTTAAATGTTTTGTATCTATCAAAATTATATTGGGTTGTGAAATATGACTAGAAGTAAGTATAATATATTAATACAAAATACATGGATTATTTCCATCTAGTAATTCATATTTCACGGCCTTGTATTGCATTGATATTGATAGGAGGAAATCAATATCAATGCAATATAATACAATTTAAACTTCCTATTTCCCGGGAACAAAGCCGGGAAAAGTTACTCTCTAGATGGGTATTATTGTTGTTTATGGATAATAATAAGAGCTACAAATTTATATCATTAACGAACCTTTCATTTCCTTAGAACAAATTTTATTGACATCACTAAATTGCGTCCATAAAGTACCTATTATTTGACTAGTTACGAAAGTTAAGTAACGCAAGTAATGTATAATATTTAGATTGGTGACCTAATCTATTATAAGAGTAAGAATTCTTAAAACGTTGCAATTAACTTAAATAATTTAATATTACTGTTATAAATAAGAAAAATGGATGAAATAAACACAAATAAGCAACGAGCTAATTGACAAGATTAAAGAGTTTTGTTCAGAATTTAATATTATGTCATGTTTTAAATTATGCTGTGTTTTCTGAGTTGTTATGTAGTCTTTGTTACAGATTACTTTGAGTAGTGTTAGGTGCTTTTCAGATTCAAGATTCCTCTTGGGCTATATTAGTTTTTACATTAATTTTAGCTTCAGTACAACAAGAAACAAAAACTCTTTTATTACGCTATCCTTTGTTTCTGTTGTGAGCTCATTTCTGTAACAAATATATACGCTTGTTTCACTAAAAAAAACACTTTATTATTAGATTATTATGTCATTGTTTTCATGTTTTTCGCTTATATTGCTGGTTTTTCTTGGATATAATAATATTTAAATTAATTATAAAGTTTACTTAAGATATTTAGATTTTCTTTCATGAAAATAATTATTATTTAGATACATACGTACAAAAACCTTTTACAGCAATAATTCGTATAGTCCGGCATCGATCAGTGCGGATTCAATATAAATCTACAGTAAAATCTCTTTTTGTGCTGTTTATTTTTATGCGCTTTTAAAGATCTGACTAATCCGATTTCATAATATAATTGTAATAACATGGAAATATTAAAGATTTCTGATCTAATAAGTTAGAATTTTCTGTAAAGCATAATTAATTATTTTCTTAACATCAATATTTTGAGGAAAAAATAAAGTTTAGAGGTTTAAACATTCTTTTTTTTAATTTAATATTACGCAATAATATAAAGGGATATAGAAGGTAGTCCTTTCATTATATTATACAATAATAGGTATTTTCTTTTAATTTTCATCATTAATAATACAAAGACGAGAAAAGAAGATCCTTTATTTTTAAATAAATTGTATACATCTCAAAAAAAGGTAAAAATAATAAGGATTTTCTCTAAACTAGATATCGTTTATTACGTAAAAAGTATTTTTTATGTTAATTAATGAACTATATTCATTAATAGTAAAATGTAATATATTTTTCAGTTTCCTTTATTCTTATTTTATCTGTTAAAGTACCCACAATTTTATTGATTAAAACTTATCTCTATTGCGCACAGTAGTTTATTACCTACGTATATTATAACCATGTTACGATATAAACTAATAAAATTTTTGTATAGAAATAGACAGTTTTTTTACAATATTCATATGATAACTTAACGACTTTTTATAGTTTTTTTTACCTTCGGATATTAATTACATGTTGGTATGTTCAAAAATAGACATTAACTAAGCGGAAAATAATCAGTTTTCTAATAGAAAAACAACCTTTTTATTTACAATATTTATTGAAACAATCAAAGTTCTAATAACCACCTGCAAAAGGCTATTATTATATAATCAATAACAAGAATTATTAATTAAGAAATAATGATGTTTCCCTCCATAAGCATTTTGTTTTACGAACTGAAATATTTGTTTACGTTAAATTTCTATTTGTTAATGTTTACAAGACTTGAATAATAAATGTTTCTAGACTATATCATAAATGTCTCAATTACTCCAACTGGTGAATTCGCCGTGTTTCACTGAACGATTTCCTGTATTAGAACTGCTCTGAAAATCGTACACGCGCTTTATTTCCGACACAGAATTTGATTAATTGCAACGACTGAAACCAGGCACGACAGATATATACATTTCAAACTACGGACTGAAAATTTTTACTAGTTTTATAGATCAGCGGTTCCCAAACATTTTAGAAACCCAATATATAGCGACCGGTGTATTTTACAATGCTGTCCTTGGATTTTAAGAGTGCTGGCAATATAAGAGCGGGCGACTTTTCACATTCTTATTAAAAGAAAAACTAGTAGTTGTTCAAATTTAGAATTTAAATATTTGAATGAATGTAGGTATCTCCCGACTTACGAACAACCCTTTGGAACGGAAAGGTTCGTAAGTTATAATTTTTGTTTGGACTGTTATTTTTTTTATCACTATATATCTCATTGTAACAAGTTAGTGTTTTTAGAATTTTATTACCTGTATTTGATTTAACTCTTTGAAGGACGATGGGACACGAATTGTTCCACCTTTTGAAAATGTCTAGAGGGGCATTATTATAATTTTCTAGAAAATGTCCAGCAAAGTCAAGAGATTAATTTTGATAGTCCATACCATCCGAAGTTGATTCAGTTGACTAATTTGTCTGATTCAGTTTTCTAGAAATTTGTCTAGGTCTAGTAATTTAGGAATTTCCGGCCGCATCGGGTATACTTAAATTATATATCTTTGGTTTATACTTTTGCTTTATCTTAAAAATCGATTTGCGATTCCCAGTTTTGGAAAGGCTGATATAGAGCAATAACTCGAATAGTTCGGGTAATCGGTTCCAATGTCGTGGACTACACTCGGTCGTCTTTTTATGGTTTTGAAGTTATGCGGTTTTTATTTCAAGAAGCATTTTTTTAATATTTTAGGCCATTTTACACGTTTTGACACAAATTGGCAAACCATTTCTTCGAAAAAGATGATAATTCTGAACGAGCATTCTAGTTTCAACGCAAGCTTCAGAATTGCATTTCTGGATATCAGGAATTGTACAAAAAAATAGCAAAGCCATTGCAAAGTTTAATCACTGATTATATTGTCAAAGGGAAAAAATCAACATGCGAAGTTGAGACTAATTTTACTTGTTAAGAATCATTATCTTCAGGACATAGATCTGATATGCTGACTATCTCTTCTAGTGATGAAAGTTATTTCGAACCAGTTTGCAAATTATGCCAAACACTCTCATAATTCTAAATAGCGATGATAATTCTAAAGAGAAAAATGTGAAGAAAGATTAACTTTCATAAAAAATATTCTGTATTTTTTTTGTATAATTTTTCAGTATAAATTTAGAAGGATTTAATGGATACAGAATTGTTCACGTTTTTATAAAATTATGAATAATATAGTAAGACTAATTATTTTTCTGAAATTTAATAAACCCTTTTTATGCGATTTTCGGTACATTGTAACTCATTAATTTAGTTTTATGCTGTTTTAAAAAATTATGGAACGTATCCTTTATTTTTATACGTGTGTCTAGTTCTTTTTTGTGCAATTTATTTTTATGCGTTTTCCTGTGGAACGTATCTACTGCATAAAAAGAGTAAGTGTATTTGAAAAAGAACTAGTTGATGACATTAAAACTTTACAAAAATGAACTTAACTGTATATAACACCTCACTCAATAAGTTGATTTTTAGGAAGTACCAACCTTCAGATGACGCCTGTCAAAATTTCATGACAATCTGACGTTTAGTTCACAAGTTACAGTGGTTTTAGTTAGAAAAAAAGTGTCATAATTTTTTAAAATTTATTTTACTCAATTAAAATGTAGTTAATCCGGGCTGATTGAAGCCAGATTATGCTAGGTATTGCTGTATTGTGTAATTAATAATCGATTTGTCGCAATGGAATATTGTTTTTAATTAAAATTCTATATGATTTATGAAAACGGTTATAACATTTTAATTTCATTTTTTTTTTGTTCACTCACTTAAACACGACGATATATTTTTCGTTTCGATCTGTTCACATTTTGCTGTATCACAATTTCGCTCCTAACGAAGTGCTATTATCCATACAGAGCGGGAAGTTTCATAGCTTCCTTCCGTCGACCCGAAGATAAATCTCAGTCGTTAAATTTTGTCTCGCATATTCAGATCTAATATGCGCATTAGACTTAATTAAATCTAAACAATGCCGTATGAAATTACTGTCTTTTGTAATAAAATAAGCTGTGATGTCACAATTTATTCTTAAAATAACTGAAAAGATAATTTATATAAAACTATCAAAATTATATTAAATCCAAAATTAATTAAATCTTCAAAATCCCGACTGTATCAAAATCCCGACGTTCAAAATTCTGTATCCGGACTGGGATTTCGATATAGTTGGGATTTCGATTGCCACCGTATAAAAGAAGTAGCGACCTCGCAATTCATTTGTAAAAAAAGATGAATATTCAAAACAAATTTATATATAAAAAGTATTAGTATTCAAATCTGTTTCTCGTCCAGAATTAATTCAATATCAACAAATCCATACAAAAATGCAGTCTTATACAATAAAAAACTAGTTTCTTTACGATTCATTAATAAGTAATAAACTTCCTTAGGTTATGTGTCTAGTTTGTATAAAAATACATAAACATAGTTAAATATGTGTCTGGCATTTAGATTTAATTTCCCATTAAAAAGTTAATACTTAAACAAA